CCTCATTCCCCCTCCGTCCTCCTTGCTCTCCTGAAAGTGTTGATTGGAAGTATAGTTCCACAAACAGTTGTCGTCATCCCCGTATCCAAAAACATTAGTCATATGTGAGCACTGACAGTGAGCCAACACAACTATGCTACCATGGAAGTTATCACAATCGAGCCTGATGCTGTCCTCAGCCAACAATTACCTGCACACACCCATCAGTCAGTGTCAACAGATAGCAATTAGGATTCATAATCGTGCATCAATTTCCCTTCCCTAAGTTGGAGCTCTTAACAATGAGCTACTGTTCCTAAGTTGACAGCAGCTAAAAGAAAGTTCAAGTAAGCACTAAACACGTAACATAAATTAATTACTGTTCTTTTCAATTATCCCTCTTTTTTAATAGACACATATTCTGCCTCAAGACAAAACATTTATTTTGAGTCAGTATTGAACAAATAATCTCTTTCCAGACCCTTTCAGATGAGTCCATAGTTAATTACATGGTGATGTGGTGCTCAAACACCTATGTGATGGTTTGTCCTCTTTAAAGAAGCACCCATATTTTCATTGGTATCTTCCACAATGATTCAACTTAGAATGGGAATTTAGCAAAAGGGTGGGAGGAAAGAAAAAAGTCATTAACCACAATGTTATCTTTGCTCCAGGTGCTACATAGCTCTTGGTGGTAGAGGGAGTGTCACAGTAACAACATGACCTTTGGATATTCTATGATTCAAAATCGCTAATGGATTGATCAATCAATTGTATGAAAACTTGGTTGAGTATCCAAACACTAAGAGTTATACACATGTATGCAAACCTACACATAGAAAATCAGTGTCTGGAATAGAATGTGAACGCTCTCCTTGGTGATTCGTACCCCGCTTATCTAATTCTAGATAGTAAGAGGTGCAGGTTGGCAAGAGACGAGGCTTGGGTTCCCCAAAATGCGCGTTGGTTTGGTGTACTGCTGGAGCTTAACCAGCTAAAAAATCATGTTCTTAAATCCCGGTTAGCCAGAGCAACGTTTCAAAAATGCCAGGAAATCAGCATTTCGATCTCAGATCACTTCCTCATCTCGTTCTCCTCTCACATGCCTCTCTCCTCCACCAAGCCCTCAACCATACTCCATGGAAAAGGCTACCCCTTGAGACCCTCACAAAGGCCCTAACATCCTCTGATATCCTATCCCTCTGGCCTTCCATCCGCAGAGATCCTGAAGCAGCCGTCCAGCTGCTCCATGATCGCCTCTCCTCCACCTTCAACTCTCTCGTCCCCCTGAAATCCAGGACCATCTCCAAACCCACCCGATCCCCCTGGTATAACAACCATCACCGCTGCCTAAAAACCCAAACCCGGCTGCTCGAGCACAGTTGGCAGAAAACTGGCCTGACAGTTCATCACCAACTGTGGCTCGAGCATCTCCAAAGCTACCGCCGTTCTTTGACACGTGCGAAAATGGCCTTCTACTCCAACATCATCTTGGAGGCAAAAAACAACCCTAAAGTCCTTTTTTCCACCACCCACTACCTCCTCTGTGCGCCCCCTCAGACCTCCTCAATCTTCACATCAAATGCCAAGTGTGAGGAGGTCATGGACTTCTTTTCAACTAAAATAAATAACATCCGCCAGGCAGCCTCATCCTCCTGCCTCTTGTCACCCACCACCACCCCCTCTCTGTCCCCCTCACCCGCCCCATCATCAGCTTCTACCACGAACCCCATTCTACATTCCTTCCTCCCCATCTCTCCTTCCTCCCTCTCACCCACCATCACTTCGATGAAACCCACCCCTACTGCCTCGACCCCCTCCCCACCAACTTGCTGCTCACCCCCTCACCCCCTCCTCTGCCCACTACTGGCTGACGTCATCAACCAGTCCCTCTCCTCCGGATCAGTCCCTGCCTCCCTCAAAATTGCTGTCATCACCGCCCCTCCTGAAAAAAACCTTCCCTAGATCCCTCAAACCTTAGTCACTAATTTCAAACTTGTCGTTCCTTGCCAAAGTCCTAGAACGCATTGTTGCCAATCAATTCCGCGAACACCTCTCCTCCCACTCCCTCTTCGAACCCCTCCAGGCCAGTTTCCGCCCTGCCCTCAGTAGAGCCCGTGAAAGTCTCAACCGACATCCTCTCTATCTGTGACCAGGGCTCCCTCTGCCTCCTTGACCTCTCCTCCGCTATCGGCATCGTCGATCACACCATCCTCCTCCACCTCAGTGGGACCGCACTCGCCTGGTTCGAGTCCTACCTCACAAACCGCCAGCAGTACATCTGCACAAACAGCGTCTCCTCCCGCTCTCACCCGGTCACCTGCGAGGTACCCCAAGGATCCATCCTTGGCCCCCTCCTCTTCCTTATCTATATGCTCCCTCTTGGGGATGTCATCTGCAGACATGGGGTACACTTCCACATGTATGTGGACAACACCCAACTCTATTTTTCCACCTCACTTTGCAACCCCCAGTCCCCCTGATGTTCTGTCATCCTGCCTGTCAGACATCAGGAGCTGGATGAGCACGAATTTCCTTCAGCTAAATGTTAACAAGATGGAAGCTATACTCTTTGGCTCTCATCAAAGTCTTAAATTGCACGATTCTCACCTCCTCCACTTACCTAACCTGCACCTAAAACTCTCCGAACTCGTACGCAACCTAGGTGTCAGGTTCGACCCCCAATTATCCTTCCTCACTCACTCCAGTCCCTCACCAGCACTGCTTTCTTCCACTTCCGACGTATCGCTTGTCTCCGCCAATATCTCACCCCAAAAGCCGCTGAAACCCTGGTCCATGCCTTTGTCACCTCTCAGCTGGACTATTCAAATGCCCTCCTCGCCGGTCTCCCCTCCACTACCATCCATAAAATCCAAGTCATCCAAAATTCTGCACCCACATTCTTACCCGTACCAAACCCCGCTCCCCGATTACCCCAGTCCTTGCCAGACTGCATTGGCTTCCTGTCCCAGAGAGGATTGATTTCAAGATACTCACTCGTTTTCAAATCCCTCCACTCCTCTGCACGCCCCTACCTCTCTGGCTCGGCCCCGGGATCCATTATTGTGAAGTGGTCTGAGACGCCATCCAGCGTGGAGGGCACTATATAAATCCAAGTTGTTGTTATTTGAATCCCACGAGCAGAAGATAGCAAAGATGTGTAAGGTTTTGTTTCTCTCTAAAACCGAAGTTTAAAAAGTGTCAAATCTTGAGAAGTTATTTTAAACTCTTGACAACAGCTTTACCATTTTGTGGCAATCAGTTCGAGTTTCAACAGCAAAATTGTTTAATCACATAAAGCGAAACAAGAAAGTTAATCATGCATCACTGTCTGCACTCCAGTGGGCGACGGCAACAAACATTGGAGGGACTACATTGGCCTGTGGTCAACTGGTTGCCGCTGGTCTTGTAATGTATGAAAGATTGTAAAATAAACAGAGGTCATTTATTTGCAAATATATACTGCAAAAAATAAATTGCGTGTGTATGTGAATCGTTGACAATTCTTTGCCTCTATAATAAAACGGTAGCTTTTTTTTAATGTTAAGTGTAATGCTGGATTTATCAATATAGGTTATAATCTCATAGTATTTAACATTTTACCCTCTCGCATGCATTTCTGTAGGAGTCCTGTAGTTCAGTGGTTAGAGCACTCGCTTTGCAAGTGAGAGATTGGGTTTGATTCCTGGCAGAGCAAAACCTTGGGCAAGTTTCCTTCCTCCACACGTCTGATAATAATCCCCCAAGAAAAAAAAATAATCAATTGGTCACTTCAATCCATGACTGTTTGTGTGACACTGCCATGCGCAATTGGTTGCCGCGTTTTGCCCACAAATGTACAACCAATTCACTTTACAGTATATTCTGTGAAGCGCTTTGAGGCGTCTAGAAGACGTGAGAAGCGTTATATCAAATGGAAGGATTATTATCATACAAAACATCGAGGCTTGACTATGCAAATTCCCTGCTCATCGACCTCCCCAACCCCTTCCTACATAGGCTGCAGATCATCCAGAACTCTGCAGCCCACGTCTTCTCCTGCATTAGGCTCCGTGACCCTATCACCCCCATCCTCGCCCGACTCCACTGGCTTCCCATCACACACGAGGATACAGTTCAAGATCCTGGTCCTCAGCTTCAAAGTCCTCCACGGCCGTGCTCCCCCCCTACCTCAGCCACCTCCTAACTGCCTACCAACCTGTCCGCTGCCTACCAACCTGTCCGCCGCCTACCAACCTGTCCGCTGCCTACCAACCGCTCAGCGGGCTCTGGCCGGCTTCACAGCCCGTCTCGCCCACCTCACCGTTGGCTGGTGAGTCTTCAGCCACTCTGCCCCCCCCCACCCTCTGGAACTCCATCCCACATTCCCTCCAACTCTTCCCTCGCCTCCTTCAAGACCCTCCTTCGAGACCCTCCACTTGGACCGTGCCTTCGATCACCCTCCTTCCCCCACTGCCCTCCCGCATCCTCGAGCCGCGGCTCCCGTCCGAAACACTGACTGTCCGGCGCCTTGGGAGGTCCTCCCGCGGGAAAGGCCTTAACACAAATGTCATTTGGTTGTTGTTTACCCTATTCCTGTCTTGAGCGAGTGAGTGAGCGAGTGAGTGAGCGAGTGGGAGGAAGTAGCCTTCAAAACACACCGCCTTCCTCCCAAGACAAAAACAGACGGCCAACTCGCTCACCGTTACTCCTGTGATCACCGCTAACGCCTCTTCACCTGAACACTCGCGGGTTATTTGCACTTTTTTTCCTCCCCAAAAAAATATTCGCCCCTCAGACCCGGGCGCCGCGACCGCGCGTCACCTTGGAGTCGGGCGGCCGATGCGGCGGGAGGCGCGTTAACGACCGCAAACGTGGTAAGCGACATGTCCGCGGGTTGACTGGGGTGAGGGTGAGGTGAGGCGCGGGCGGTGTGGTGTGAGCCCGTGTCTGAACCGCCGCTGCCGCTTGTTGTTGTCACCAGGACCTCGGCGTGGAGACGTCGCGTCAGCATCCGGGTGCCTGGCCGAGGGTATAAAAGGAGGCGATGGGCGGGCGGCTGCTCTTTTCATCCACTGGCTACTGATCGCGGAGAACACAGCGTCAGCTCCAGGCCGCCGTCGAGCTTTTATGGCAAAAAGCGTTCGTCTTCTTTCTCCTTTGGGCTCCCCCGTTACTTTTTGAAAATTCCGCCTAAAAAGAAAAGACGTTTTACCAAATCTTTTGGGCCGTTATTTCACGTAAGTTACACTTCCGCTTGTTTTTTTTTGTATATCACCGGGGGTGGGAGGGGGGGGGGTGAGGATTTTTTTTGCCCGACAGATAGAAATGCCGCTTAATGAGTGTGCGTATGGGTGTAAGAGGAAGGTGACATTTGTTTGGAGTTGAATTGCACGGTTTTACATGTTATAATCGGCTTGTGTGTAAGGTTAAGATGTCGGTGTTTGAGAGACACAACAGTAAAGAACCATCCCCGCCCTCACTCTCGGCCTTCACTCTGTTTGAAGGAGAGTCCGGAAATCCCGGCTTCCTCCGCGGCGCTCGACGGCGGAACCCCCGCCCCCTTGTCGCGCTGATTGGCGAAGCGGGCAGTGACCCGGCCGTCCGTATGGCCGGGGCACCTGTCAGTCATCGTACGTCACAATAAGACAGCGTTGGGGATTCCATTGACCGTGTTGTGGGCGACGGTTGAGAATAACGGATTTAGAATTTTTGAACCTTTTTGAAATCAGTATAGAAAATAAAAGAAACGCGAGTGTCAGAAATACTCAGAGGTTCGCGGTGGTCTTGACCGTTGAGACGAATTGGGTTTGACGGGAAGTGGGGCGGGTGGGTGGGGGGGGGCGTGTTACGTAGATACCTGTCGTTTAACTGCGCATTTAAGATCATTTCCTTCATTTCTTGTATTTAAAATAGAATAAAACGCGAGGGTTTCCCCCCTCTCTCTTACCGAGTCCCGTGTAAGAGCCGATACCTGGTTCCTACAGTCACCGACAGCCCCGCGCAAACGAAACCCCAGCGTCGCAATGATGGCCGCCGGCCGCCCATGTGGCAGTGGCGGACAGGACAGGCGAGCACCGCACCTGTTCCGCGAACCTGAGTGGTTGAACCTCTGCTCCCAGGTTATGCTGACCCGAGACACTGGCGTCTGGTTTGGAGACTGACTCACCGCGCTGTCAGTATCTAAACTTAAACCCCGCTATCGCGCCTCCGGGAGATCCCAACCGACTTGAGTAACCCGCGATGGAGGGGAACTGAACCTCTCAGTCCAGCGTTTTGTTTTTCCTGCTCGTTGCCTTCATTTGTTTTGTGCGACATCAGCCTTTCCGGGCCTGCAGTTTGGGAAAGGGGAAACAAAACACCCTCAATTTCCACTCCCAACCCTCTCAGTTCCATTGAGAGCTCCCGATATTTTAACTTTCTGTCATAATATGTTCAAAACATTTTGTTCGAAACATTTTCTCACCGGCCTTCCCCCCCCCCCCCCTCCCTACCACCACCACCACCGCCACCGCCCGCCCCAGCGAAGGAAAACGTGACATCTTGAAACGTGTGCAGTTTTGAGATGTAAACATAAAACGACTTTTTAAAGCAGAGACAAAAGCATTTCGGGTTTACTGGAGCCGGAACAATCCATCACATGTGGGGCGGCGTTAATGTGCTTTATTTATTATTCGCTCTTTCGAAGCCCTCCTCCACCCATCCGTTTCTGGTTTTGTAAAAGGCCACCCATGACCCGGTCCTGGGGAGGGAAAGCGGCCCTCCCGGGGCCGGGTTTTGAATCTATTTGATTTGGTGTAAATTGTGTCTGAAAATATTCCGGTTGGGACTCGCATATTCCGGTTGGGACTCGCACTGGTCAGAATGATACCATTGTTACATGTGAACAATCGTGCCATCCTGGCGGCTGCGGCGAGTGAGGAGACAGCCCGCAGTGAAGGAGGTAGGGGCAGGCAAGTACAGCCCGAGCCGAGCACACACACACACACACACACAGCCTGGCCTGGCCTGGCCTGGCCTGGCCTGACAGCCATGGGGGGATAGGGGGGGGGAGTGAGCAGGAGTGTGTGAGGTGATAAAATGTTAAACATCAAGAGTTGAATTAGATTGATCTACACAGAAATGTGGATTTAGACATAATCGGGTCATTTGATATATTGCTTTATCAGGTCGTCCAAGTCTTAGAGCACTTCAAATGATTTTACTGCAGTGTGTTGTGACTATTTATAGGTACACAACAGCCAATTTGTGCACAGCAATATCCCACAAATGGGCATGAAGTGAATGGCCAATATTATTTGTGGGATTATCACCAGGAAAAACTTCTCTTTTGGAGGATTACCATCTGCCTAAACAGGCAGGCGGTAGCTTGGTTTAACATCTCACCTGAAGGATAGCAATGCAGATGAATTGAGTGTCATGGGCGTCATCTCAGAGAGTTAAAAGTTCCAATGTGGGCTTGAACCCACAATCTTCTGATTTGGAGGCAAGAGTGCTATTATTGAGCCCAGGGTATTTGTGGAATTGCAAAATGCAAACTCTATTCCTAAACAAAGTGGTACTGATTGCTGCATGCTCAAAACAGACTTAATGACCTGTTAAAATCTGCCAAAACATTGATTTAACTATAGAATGGTCAGTGAGAGACTTTCTGTTCCAAGTTTTTGTTAAAAACTTTTAAGTTTACATATAGATTACAAGATCCTCATACTTGTGTACAAATCATTTCATGCTCTGGCATCTCCCTACCTCTCCCAACGTGCTTACACCTAACTCTAGGGAGGGCAAGGTGAAGGAATTGAGGCAGAGATTTCCATACTTTTGTGGTGTAGTGACTGAAAGCACAGCTGCTGATGGTGAAGCTGAGGGATATGAGGGAGGCCAGAGCCAGCTGAGCTGAGGAGGTGGTTAGTGGGGTGTAAGCATGTTGGAGAGCTAGGGAGGTGCCACGGTGGTAAAGTCATGACCAGGGGAGGTCTGCCCTTTTAAATGGGTTCTGTGGGATTCCAGGTTGCTTGCAGCAGTTAACAAGCAGTCTGGATGCAATTGCTACAATGTAGGTATCAGGCTAGACATTTTAGGTTTTACTAATGAAGTATTGTTTTGAGAGTTGTTATAGATATGTTGGATTGCTGTGTTTGGTTATAATAAAGAGTAGTACCTTAGAAGGGGAAAGTGCCAGCATTTTATGTGTTACGACTCAGACTTTATTTAAATCTGTCGTTGAGTGTCATAAAAATATATACTTGTGAATTTAAATTAGTTCATATAACCAGGATATTGGTTTTGTCCTCCTGACTCGAGGAGCCCCAACTCTGATCATTGGAGCATTGGCTCCAACTCTGATCATTGGAGCATCAAATGCCAAACTCCGTGATATTTGACACCCAACGTGGGGCTTGTTATTAACCAAAATACTCAATTTAACAAATATTACCAGTGAAAGCAACAAGACAAATTGTAAAAGTCCTTTGAAGAATATAATTTTTCTACTGAGGAGGACGACTACATTAAAGAGAGGAAATAACCGAAATGGGTGAAAGTGTTCTGAGAAAGACTGTGTACAGGAATGAGTTAGACAGGTTTGGCAAACTCTCCAGGAAAAAAGATACAAAAAAGGGAATGAAAATGGCTGTTGGGATTACAAATGTGGATTATGATTCTGACTATTATCTAGGAAGCAAAAAGGACAAAAGAACTAATATTGGTTGGGATTATGTTGATCAGCTAGGCAAGGGAGATCCCTCCATGTGAAACAGAGACTGAATGGGAGACAGTCAGTTTTAGAAAATGAGCACTGTAACAATATATACAGGGTCACAGGAGAACGGACAGAATTCCGACGGACAGGAGGAGCAATAAGTCTTACCCAGATAACAGGGAAATGGACACAGTGCGAAAGGTTTGTGATAGATTATGCCAAAGCTTGTACACAAAATGAAGCAGAGGGCAGATGAGTCCAAATGGCACTTGCCCACCTTGAGGGCCTGATTGAGTTAATGAAAATGTCTATAACTACAATGCAAAATGGTCAGAAAGGAGTCCTTTTAATGTCCTTTTTAATATGCTTGTGTGTGTCATTTGGTAATGGTGGAGCGGTGTTTGATGGACCAATGAAAAGTGGAGCGCTCGGCAGTCAATGGAAAACAGGAGAAAAAAAGGAGCTGTTGAAAATTAAGGGGAGTTAGAGCAACAGCTCAAAGCAACCAAGGACAAAAGGGTAATAAAATCCCAAGGGAAGAACTCAGTAGAGCCCAGGGTAGCGTCTCCGAGTGCTTAGCATTGGCACAGCCAGACCAAGCCGGGGTGGGGGGGGGGGGGGCGGGCGAATGACCGTAAACGCAGTCAAAAAGGAAGGTTTTCAGGCGGGACTTGAAAAAGGGGAGAGAGGGGGCAAAGCGGAGGGATTGAGTGAGAGTGATCCACAGTTTCGGGACGTAATGGCTGAAAGCGTGATCTTCAATGGTGGAGCGGAGGGTACGAGGGACAAGTGGAAGGCCGGTGCCAGTGGAGCCGGGTGGTGGATTGGGGAGTGAGGAGGTCGGAGAGGTAGGGTAGTGCCAAGGAGTGAATGGATTTGAACACGAGTATGAGAATCTTGAAGTCGATCCATTCAGTGATGTGGAGCCTGGCCCGAACTGGTGAGAAGGGGATACAGAGTTATGGTCCGGCTAAGTATGCAGGTGGCAGAGTTCTGAATGAACTGGATTTTTTGAATAGTGGAGCTGGGGAGACCGTCGAGGAGTGAGTTTGAATTAACCAGGCCGGAGGTGACAAACACAAGCACGAAGGTTTCAGCTGCATTTGGGTTAAGGTACAGTCGGCGGCGGGCAATGTGGAGGAGGTGGCTGAAGGCGCTCCTGGTCAAGGACTGGATGTGGGGTAGGAAGGACAGCAGGAGTCGAACCTGGTGCTGAGGTTGTGCACTGGTTTGGTGAGTCTGAGGGACAACCCAGGGAGATTGAGGAGTTCAGATACGCAGGAGTGAAGACATTGACAGGAGCCAAAGAGTATGGCATCCGTCTTGTCTACTTCAGCTGCAGGAAGTTTGTACTCGTCCAGGACCTGGAGTCGATGCTAGAGGAGGCAAAGTAGATTTGCGTGTCATCCACATATGGGTGGAAGTTTACCCCATGTCAGCGAATGACATTGCCAAGAGGGAGCATTATAGATGAGGAAAAGAAGGGGGCTAAGGATGGAGCCCTGGGGTACTCCGCAGGTAACCAGACGGGGGTGGGAGGAGAAACCATTTGCTGAAATGAAGTGGAGACGGTTGGTTTAGACTGGGACAGCAGTCTGCATCTGCTAACAACCAAGCACAAACCCAAGTTCAGGCAGATGAGTTGCAGCAGCCGACAATAGTCGGTGCTGACCAGCAATCCATGCTGGGACTGAGTCAGGAACAAGCAGTAGCTTCCAGTAGGGTGGTCTCGGCCAGCAGCCTACAGACCAGCAGCTTGTACAAAATGAAGACAAAGTGCTGCTGACACAAGCAAGGAGTGCCAGGAGCATCAAACATCTCAGAAGAATACGAGTGATCATTTGGAAGTCAGGATGAAAAAGATTTTTGGACTCTGACATCTTGGATGTGATTGTTGCAATTCGCAGTTGTGGTGCCAAAGGTTACAGAAGATGACGCTGATATTAATCGGGACTATGATAATGGCCCTGCTAGATGGAAATGTATGATTTGGTATTCTTTTGAATGTTCTGTTCGGATGCATTGGGACGTTTGATTTATGTTGTGCAGATTGTTGCCCGGTGGCTAAAGGGTATCTTGATTCAGTTTTGGCTGCTTTTGTTTCTGCCATGTAGGCTGCATGTGGGAAGAAGGAACATGATACACTTGATGGCTTGCTCGCCACGCTTCCAACCCACCAAGAGGGGAAATGTGGTGAAGTCATGACTAGGGGAGGCCTGCCCCTTTAAATGGGTTCTGTGAGATGACAGGTTGCAGAGGCAGCTTACAGCAGTCAGCAAGGAGCCGAGATGCAATTGCAACACTGTAGGGATCAGGGGCTAGCACTTTTGTTTTACTATTGCAGTGTTGTTCTGAGAGTTGTTATTATAGATATGTTGGATTGCTGTGCTTGCTCCCATTGTTGTATGTCTTGAATTTTTGTGTTCTTAAATGCAAGGTGGCCTAGGGTTGCTAGGTTATAATAAAGAGTAGCACCTTAGAAGGGGTTAGGGCCAGCATATTATGAGTTACAACTCAGACTTAATTTAAGGCTTTGGGGTGTTGTAAAAATATATACTTGTGTATTTAAATTAATTAATATAACCGGATACTGGTTTTGACGTCCTGTCTCGAGAAGCCCCAACTCTGATCATTGAAGTGATTTGTACACAAGTGTGAGGATCTTGTAATCTGTATGTTCTGCAATAGTGTGCCAGTGGAGCCTGGCAACAACAATAAAATTACATTGTATAGCACCTTACACATTGGGAGGATATCCCAAGGCGCTGGACAGTCTGTTTTGGACCCGAGCTGGGGGTCAGAATCGGGGAGAGGGTAGAGAGCAGAGGGGGAAGGAGGGTGATCAAAGACAGTTTCTCCTGATGTCCTGACCAAAAATCTTCCAGACAAATCTTGTCATTCACTTCATGGCTGTTTGTCAGACATTGCTGCCAAATTCACCTAGAAATACAGTCACTACACTTGATAGTAACGCCTGTGAAGAGTCTTGACATGATAAGGCATGATATCAACTGCAAGGATTATTATGGAGAGCTCAAAATGCAGATTTTGTATGTGCTATTCAGATTCACTTAGAAAGCTCTGAAACAAAATTAATCCAAGGAAGAAAAGAAAGTAAAATGAAAGATGTATGGGAGGGGAAATCAAACAAGAAAAAAGGTTTACACATACATCCATCTCTGCCATCATGTCACATCACTGATGGGCTTTGCTGTCTATTAAACCTGTAATGCTGGAAACTATTCTTTACCCTAATGTGAATCTAGAACTTTTATCGTTGCTAACATTAAAAAAAAGATAAAATAACATGCCAACCTGTGTTCTTTACATATAGAGGGTCTAAATGTGGTAATTTCTGCTGGCATTCCTTAATAAGGAATCTGATTTGTAAATGAGGATTCGTTCTGGTAACTCAGTACATCGTGTCTATTTGTAGGAATAACACTCAGATGCAATCTACTTTTGGTATGGAGTTTTGTCAGGTCGGTGTGACATACTTCCAGTTACGGCAAGGATTTTCGAGTCCTTTTAGGGAACTCCTTTAGTAAACTGTATTTAAAATGCTATATTGTTCTATAATGGGTGGTCAGTATAATAGATGAATTTGATATCCCAATTGGTGCTTCTTCAGATGAAAAGGAAAATAGAAAATCCATTTATTACAGATACTTTAATCAAGATGATGAAAACTGCATTGCAGCTTCTACATAAACAGTAACTTTACCAGAAAAGCCACTTTGCATTTGTATAATGATGGCTCAGATTCACTGGAGATGATTACATTTTGTTTCCTCTAAATCATGGTCTAATTGCATTATCTTTTCTCTCTTTAGGGCAGAATTTCTGTTTGGGTGTATAACAGCTATCCAGAAGGTCTGGGAGTAACGCTTTACAGAGAACAGTTCGACTTCAACGCTGAGCCACCTTGGGACCCTAGCTGATAGTGGTGGTTCTCCATCTCCCAACTTGTCCATGTAAGGCTAATTTTGTTGTGAAATATTGTCCATGGATATCTAGGTTTTCTGCTCACCACCTATTACCATTTTATTTAGCCAGAAGAAACCAGTTACATAAGTCCTTTACTGAATTAGAAAGGAGTTGATAAACCTTTGATAGATCTATGAGCAAACTGCCTCAGTAACAATCAGGTAAACATCTACTACAGTGCACCTACCTGCATTGTTATTGAGCATCTCAATAAGTGTAAATCTTTGTGGTGACAAAATGTATACCAATTTAGCAAAGTATTTAAAAATGGGGGGATAACTCAATACTTTATTGAGTTGGAATGTTGTAATTCTGGTTCAGGGTTCTGGGTCAGTTGCTTAGAACTATTCAAGCAGTGACCTTTTGTGATTTCTCCAGTTAATTATTTCACTGTGCTTCAACTTAAGATAAGAGGTGGGACTCGATACTTCTTCATAGTTGCCACCTATTGTAAATTATTCAATCATGGAGGGGCTCTGAAGAGTAATTTAGGGAAAGGGCACAAGTTTTCTAGCACTATAAAGTACTATAGTTCTAAAATGGAAAAAGAGGGTCATATTTAAAAAAAAACACAAATTCTACCCTATGACAGGAGGTCATTTGTATTTAAAAAGGGTTTTAAGGCAACACGTTTATTTTTTAAAAAATATGCGGGATCACAAGAAGCTTACTATTGAATGAAATGGACAGATAATTGTTGGACTTAACACGAGTCAAAAGCAGACAAATAATCTTTTTTAAAAATTAATGGCGAATTCTAAATATGAATTTGCCTTTAAAAGAATGTCACCATCACAACTTGCATCTATTGAAATTAAGGAGATTTCAACAGAACACTATTATGGAGCTTTCTACCCAGGTATTCCTTTAAGCCTGCAGAAAAGGTCTGTTTTGTATTTGATATTCTTGCTTATTATGTCTACATTTGTGTTTGGTGTTGATTGTTTTTTTACTTTCATGTCTGTTGGTGTTACGAGTACATTTATTTTTATGTCATATTCTGTTGCATTTTGATCCCAATGGTAGATCTACTATTTGATGTCAAGAATAAGTGCATTTGTTGATGATGCTTGATTGACAGCAGAAAAAAATATTAATGGGTTTAATTATTTTCTGGAAGGTTATTAAGTCACCTGTATGTCAGTCCCTTTAGGGAGATATAATGCAAGATGTTACATTTTACAAGAATCCACTGCAATTTAAGTATCTAAACTCTTCTTCTGCAGTTTGTTGCATATTTTAAAACCCCGATATTGAAGGATCTGTGGCAACCTTCATTTGGTGCTTGGTTTGAGTGTTGGCCTTGTGGAGCACTGGAGATGAAGGGATTCGTTGGACTAGAAGAAAGCTACTCCTTTGACCTTCTGGATGAAGGAACTACTCTTAGCAATGTTATTGACAACCATATTCATGAGCATACACTTTTGGTAAGTCTGTTTTATTGGTTAATAATTCTTCTGGAAATTAGTTTATGGTAACTGGTACAAAGGAAACCTAATCCACATAGTATATACTGAGATGATATTCATTAGTATAGTATGTACTCCCACTATGAGTCACCTGAGCGGTAAGCAAATTCCATTGGCAGTTGTATTCTGTTTGCCCACAAAATTATTATTATCAATATGTATTTTTAACTGCTATGTGATATCTAAGAGGCCTTAAAAATAATATTGAACAACAGACAAAGATGGTTAGTTCTTAAGGAAAATTACGGAACCAGTCTAACATAATAATAATAATACTTGCATTTGATATAGCGCTTTTCATGTCTTCTAGGCGTCTCAAAGCACTTCACAGAATTGACTGTATGTTTGTAGGCGAAATGCGGCAGCCAATTTGCGCACAGCAGTGTCCCACAAACAGTCGTGGATTGCAATCACTTTTTTTTGAGGGATTATTATCAGGCGTGCGGAGTAAGGAAACTTGCCCAAGGTTTCATCCTGTGGGGAATCGAACCCAGGTCTCTCGCTTGCAAAGCTTTAAGGCTGTATTTAAGAAATTACCAAATTCTGAAAGCTCTAAAATAATACATAAATTTAATAAATCTAGATCCAAGTGTGTGGAGTCTTCTATTACCAGAGATCTTTTTATAAAAGTTAAAATCTTGCTTGCAATGTAATGTGCTACCAGGTTTAAATAAAGTAATTGCTTTTGTTTTAAACGCTGGAATCTTTTAATCTAGAAATATTCAATATACAGTATTTAAAAACGTGCCACGCTCTCAAACTTGCCTTAATGTTGCTGCTTAAGAGAGTGAGACACTTTAATGCTAATCTAAACTAAGTATTACAATAGGGCATGAATGTAAGATGACCAGTAGCAGATCCAGAAGGGAGTTTGGGGGACTTTTTTACCCAAAAGTTGATGAGAATGTGGAACTCTATTGGAAACTGGTTGAAGCAAAAAGCATTTGTGAGGAAACTGAATGCATATATGAAAGAGAGAAGGGAATAAAAGGATATGGGAGAGAGGATTAATAGGGTTAGAGGCTTATGTGGAGTATAAACACCAGCACGAACTACAGGCCAAATGGCTTGTTTCTGTGCTATATCATTCTCTATAATACTGGGAGTTCTGACTAAATATGCCCTGGGTCATTTGTGGTCCACGTCGCCCTCGCCTGTCCCTTGAGGGCGATTTTAGTGTTCCTGAGCTTCCATTAAGTTTGCCAGGAGAGGTGGAAGTGAAGGATGGGACAGAATTCTTAAAAAAAAAAGTTAGTATTACACCATTCAGTGTCTGAGCAGGAGTTTCATATTCATTGCCAGGTATGCAGATCTTAAACTTACTTATGTGCCTCCCGACGTGAAAGGCGCTCTATAAATGGAATCTTGTTGTTGTTGTACTTGGAAACTGGTTCAGGGATCATAACTGAAAGTGTTTGATTACCTTTCAATATTATGGAGGCTGGAGCCAGCCAAACGGAGGTGGCAGGTCGTGGAGTGGGGAGAAAGCATCTCAGAGAGGTAGCGAGGTGCCAGAAAATGAAAGGATTTGTAGACTAGTGTGAGGATCTTGAAGTTGATCCGTTGTGTGATAGTGAGCCAGTGGAGCCTGGCGAGGTCTGATATGATGGGGTACAAAGTTTAGAGTGGGTGAGTACATAGGTGGTGAATAGTAGAACTGAGGAGACCAGTGAGGAAAACATTGGAATAATTGAGGCGGGGGTGTGACAAAAGCGTAATCGAGGGTTTCTGCTGCTTTGGATGTGAGGTAAGGTTGGAGGCAGACAATGTGATGGAGGAAAGTAGTCCTGGTGAGTGACTGGACGTGGGGTAGGAAGCACGACTGGGGATCGAACTTGACTCCTCGGTTATGCACAGATTTGGTAAGTCTTAGGGATAGGCCAAGGAGGTTGAAGAGGTCAGAGCCGCGGGAGCCGACAGTAATGGGAGCCTTCCATCTTATCAACATTCCACTGCAGGAAGCTTGTTCTCATCCAGGCCTTGACATCTGATAACCAAGCTGACAGGACATCAGTGGATCTGGAATTGCAGCTGGTTGAGGAAAAGTAGATTTAAGTGTCATCCGCAAACATGTGGAAGTTGACCCAGTGTCTGCGAATGACATTGCCAAGAGGGAGCATGTAAATAAGGAAAAGAAGGTGGGCAAGGATGGAGCCTTGGGGTACACTGGAGGTGACTGGGTGTGGCAGTAAGAATAAACGTCTGAAGATGAAGTGATGGCGGTTGGTGAAGTAGGCCTTGAACCAGACAAGTGAGATCCCACTGAGATGGATGAGGGAGGAGATGTGGGGGAGGAGGATGGAGTGATCGATTGTCAAATGCAGTAGAGAAGTCCAGGAGGAGAAGGAGGCTGAGGGAGCCCTGGTCACAGGGCGCAAACCGCACTAGGAGGGCTTGAGTCGGGAGTGAAGGGAGAGGTGTGAGCAATATTGTTTCTCAAGAATGAGTTTCAGAACATTAGCAAGGAAAGGCAAGTTAGGAATGGGCTTGTAGTTTGTGACATTAGAGAGATCGAGGGTGATATTTTTGAGGCGGGTAGTGATGTCAGAGGTTTTGAGGGGTAATGTGAATAGAAAGCAGCTTTGGCCTGTGAGAGGGAGAGGTGGTAGGTACAAAGATGCTTGAGCCATATATGTGGTGAGCAATGAGGCCGGTTTTGTGCCAATTATGCGCGAGCATCCAGGTTTGATATTTAAGTGAGGGGATGACTTATATCAGGGGAGTGAATGGGTTTGGGTGGCTGTTATACCAGAGGGAGCGAGTGGGTTTTTGGTGGCTGTTAAACCAAGGGGAGCAAGTGGGGTTTTGGTGGCTGTTATACTAGGGGGAGCGAGTGGATTTGGGTGGCTGTTATATCTATCGTAAGAACATAAGAATTAGGGGCAGGAGTAGGCTATTCAGCCCCTCGAGCCTGCCCCGCCATTCGATAAGATCATGGCTGATCTTCAGACCTAACTCTAATTACCTGCCCTATCCCCATATCCCCTAATCTCTCTATTTTTTAAAAATCTTATCAGTCTCAGCCTTGAAGATGTTCAAGGACTGAGCATCTACAGCCTTCTGGGGGAGTGAATTCCATAAATTCACTGCCATCTGAGTGAAGAAATATTTGCTCAACTCTGTTCTAAAAGGCTGACAATTTTAAGACTGTGACCCCTGGTTATCGATTCTCCACCAGGAGAAACAGTCCCTCAGTGTCTACTTTATCCAGCCCTTTAAGAATCTTATATGTTTCAATAAGATCTCCCCTAATTCTTTACTCTAGAGAATATAGCCCTAGTTTATTCAGCCTATCCTCATAGGTCAGTCTCCTCATCCCAGGAACTAACCTGGTGAGCCTATGCTGCACCCCCTCTAGGGCAAGTATGTCCTTTTGTAAATAAGGAGACCAAAACTGCACACAATACTTTAGGTGCAGTCTCACCAAGGCCCCCTACACAGGGGGAGCAAGCGGGTTTGGGTGGCTGTTATACCAGGGGGAGCGAGTGGGTTTGGGTGCCTGTAGTACCAGGGGGAGCGAGTGGGTTTGGGTGCCTGTAGTACCAGGGGGAGCGAGTGGGTTTGGAGACTGCCTAGATTTCAGGGAGGCAAGAGAATTGAGGAGAGACGATCGTTTTACATGATCAGGATTGCTGCATGTGGAGGCCCAGAGGGAATGGGTTGTGGAGGGTGAGGTTTATGGAGGAGAGGAGGGCAGTGAAATCAGAGGAATGGGGTAAGAGTTGTTAAGGTGAAGGTTGAAACTGCCCATTATGAGCAGGTGTTCAGTGCAGAGGCAAAGGGACGAGAGAACATGTCCAAGAGGAAGGAACAGGTGATTTGGGTGGGGGATCGGTAGCCTAAGAGGAATTTGAAGGAAAGAAGGGCGAGGTGGTAAAAGGTGAGGTGCTCATAAGGTGGAGAGTAGTCAAGAGGAATAGGGAGATCTGCATTATACCAATTTCTTCTATGGTGCTGGAAACTTTTCCTGTTGGACTCGTTTAGCAATACGATCATCAAGTCATGGTGTGAAAGTCATGAATGGAATACGTATTATAATAATCCTTGCATTTGGCAAAGCGCCTTTCATATCAGGACATTTCAAAGCGCTTTGCAGGATACAGTAAAACTCACATAAGTTGTATAGTCGGGATCATAATATTTAATATGAATTAGGCAAAGACCAAGTTGCAGGCAAGCTGTATAACTTGCATAAAATCCGATTTATTCCACACTACGCATGCGTGATTCAGTGCAGCTGATAAATGACCATGGGGCAACAGGTAAACACTATTTCCTGTGATTCAATGTGTCTTCACCCGTTGCCACATACTCAGCTTACCAACAAGAGTTGGAATTGCATTGAATTGTGGGGAATGAAGTTCTTCTGCGCATATGGCGACGGATCAAGGCTATGTTTCTTGTGATTCAATGCAGCCGTTAAGTACGGGAGTAATGGAGGGTAGGAGAGAGGTATTACGAGTTAAGAGATGATGAATATGACGAGTGCAAAGAAATCTGAGTGTTTTTGATAGGAAGCTGAATGGGACTCGGGTGAATGTGGAGTCCTGTAGCTCAGTGATTAGAGCACTCGCCTTGCAAGTGAGATACCTGGGTTCAATTCCAGGCAGGGCAAAACCTTGGGCAAGTTTCCTTACTCCACACACCTAATAATAATCCCTCCAAAACAAAGCAATAATAAATTGGTCATTTTCAATCCACGACTGTTTGTGGGACACTGCTGTGCGCAATTGGCTGCTGCGTTTCGCCCACAAATATACAGTGAATTCACTTTACAGCATATTCTGTGAAGTGTTTTGAGATGTCTAGAAGACGTGAAAAGCGCTATATCAAATGCAAGGATTATTATATTATTATGTACGACTTAGGCGATTATAAGAGTCCTAAAGATAAGACTTGTGCGAGTTTTACTGTATACTGTAAATTAAAGTGGTATGTTGTGGATTTTTATAGACGCAAACAGCAGCCAGGCTTGCACATAGCAATGTCCCACAAATAGCCATGGAGTACATGAACACTTATATTTAGAGGAATTGTTGGTTAGGGCACTGGGATAAACTCAAAATGTTAAGTCTGTTGGTTTGTTTGCTTTATATTTCAAACAAATATAACTTTTTTTTCCTCTCCTCTGCCTTCTCGCCCCCCACCCTGCAGCAGTCTGAAAGGAATGCCTTCTTTGTTGCTGATCTTGGCAGTGTTGTGAAGCAGAACATTCGGTGGCAGAATGTGATGACACAAGTGAAACCATTTTATACTGTTAAGTGTAACACTAGTCGAGCTGTAATTGAAGTCCTTGCAGCACTTGGAACTGGCTTTGCTTGTGGAAACAAGGTAAGAATTGCTTTAGTTTATACAGTGGAACCTTGATATAATCCGATGGTTAGGATAACGAAGCACAGTAGCTGGTGTGAAGCGCGTGTGTGCATAATTTCCTCTTTTTGCCACACACAGAAAAAGGAAAAGTAACTGGCACCAACCTGATAACTCAGTTGCTATTTCAGCACGAAAGTTGGTTGGCACATGGGTTGAGTGGGCCAACTGCACATATGTGCAGTGAGTGGGGTCCACACTATAACCATGATATAACTGAATTTGCTTATAAAGAAGTGCATTAAAACAGGACTCCACTGCATTTCTATTCTTGGGACGTCCTCCCGACGTGAAAGGCGCTATACAAATGTAATTTTGTGGTACTTTATTATTGCTGTTAATGGTGTATATTATCTTTCACATGTTATTGTTACCGGGACGCTACCCTGCACGAAGGGACTTATATAAATGCAAGTTGTTGTTGTTGATACGGATGCAGGAGTTGAAAAATTACCCAAATCTGTGTACAATGCAAATTAGGAGGTTTTATTAATAGTGACAAAGAGGTCAGGGAGGTACAAGCAGATATGGACAGGTAAACAGAGTGGACAGATTGGTGGGAAATGTCGAAAAATGTAAAGTGATGTATTTTGGGAGAACTAATAGAGATCAGAATTGTACGCTTGGTGGTAGAATTCTTCGTGGAGTGAAATAATAATAATCGTCAATATTATTAAGAACAGGGATCTGGTGGTAGAAATGCAATGCTTGTTAAAAATTCTTGGTTTCTGGTAATATGTGCAGAGTTTGAAATAAGGTGCTTTCTGATCAATTTGTTTCTTATGTTTCCATAGAATGAAATTGCTGTTGTGCAAAGCTTGGGTGTAGCTTCTGAAAACATTATCTATACAAACCCATGCAAGCAAGTTTCCCAAATAAAGTATGCTGCAAAAAAAGGAGTAAACATCATGAGTTGTGACAATGACGTTGAACTTTTGAAGATTGCACGCAATCATCCTAGTGCCAAGTAAGTGTGTAAACAACCAGCAGGGTAGATTGCTTTATCCTCAAACATGTGGCTGGAGTCTTCCTACTTCTAGTGTAGTGTTCCTGGGCATTGCATTTAAAAAATACTGACATACTCTGCTACTGTCACATTGTTAACTTAGAAGCTGAAATCTTAAGTTGTTACCAAAATTGTCTAGTATTGGTTTTTAAAATTGATTAAATTAACATTTAAAATTGATTTTCCCTGAAATTGGCATGCATTGACTATATATGTCTTACTTGTTACATCTTCAAGAAGCAATGTCACTTGAAGACTTTTCAGGGAATACACGCCTTTGTTAAGAACATTTGCATAAGTGTGCTTTTGCACCAAATTTGTGAATGTTTTAGTTCTTGGTAGGGCAACACTGAAATTATTTGATGACACTGTACAGATGTTTTGATAGTTTACCAGGTGGAATATTTTATTCCTTTGATCAAATATGAATGTCACTTGATAGGCAGCTTTGTCCCAAGTATTTTTTTAGAAAGGAGCCAAGTGAATGGTGCAGCTGTTAAGTTCAGGCAGTTATATTAAGTCTAGAAACGGAAGTCTTTTAGCCGGCCTAGAGTAAATGCGAAAACCAAATTCAAGACTATTGCACTATTGCAAAAGTGGTGTGATCCTTTAATGGCTACAGGGAGATGGCAAAAGTTATTCTAGCTGCTCTTGAATCTCTCAGCACAGTGATTAAAAAAACTCACACATACACACACTTTCTCAGTCTTGCTTTCTAATGATAATTAAGATAGTCTCATTAGACTTGGGGACCAGTGTTCTGGAAAGTGTTTGTTTACTATGATTGTGATTTGGCATTTTATTTTGACTGCTTCTCTGACTGAATAGGGAGCACCAGTAAAAGTTGATCACCTGTAATGTTACAATAAACTTAGGAATTGTTATTGAGGTTTTGATTCGAACTGTAAGCTTGCAATTCCCTTTCCCTAAATAGTCTTCCCTGTGGGAGTTGCACTTTCTGTTTTCTCCATTGAACAAGATAGAATTTTAACTATCGCCTTAGTATCTGCAAACATTTGGATTTGCAGTTTAGGCTTATACTTCAGTGCATTGCTGGAGAAGCTCTGCTTTGTAAGGTGTAGTTTTCCAAACAAACTGTTCTTCACATGAGGCTTTAAACCAAGGTCCCGATGTTAGAGCCCTGCTCCCAATTCAGTAAGTGAAAAGAGTTTCTCCCAGTATCCTTGCCAATAATCCTCCGAATAACAATTGGTTATTCATTTCATAGCTGTTTGTGGAATATTGCTGTGCATAAATTGGCAGTCATTTGCTCATAAATCCAGAATCACTAGAACGTTGCAGAAATGTCTATTTACGGAATTTACAGAAATTCCCTGTGAAACGCTTTGAATTAAGTTTTTTAATCATACAACTCAAATTTTGCATTTAATTGTTAGGCCTCTTTGTGAGTTTTGAACATTAGAATACTGAAAATCAGCTGTCTGGGCAGACGGCATTTTTCAAAACATTACACGTTTTGTGCATCTTCATAAATTCTTTGAAACAAACAAGACCTTTAAAAGGTTGAACTGAGCAGCAGTGTGGCTAGTTATCACTTCTAATTTCTCTGAAACTTCACAATAGTGAATTGTACTAATTGTGTTGGTGGCAGCAAATAGCTATTATCTGTGGGCTGTATGGTCTATTTTGTGAGAGAGATTACAGGCCAGACAGGACAGGCTGATCTTTGTTTTCAGTGTTGTAATGGAAATGGCCTATTTAGAACAAAATAATCTAAGTGTTTATGAATCATCTATTTTTATAAAAAAATTAAACTAAAATTGTTTGAACCGTATAACAAAAAGTACAAAGAATGGGAGTTGCTACCCAGGACATCCTTGTACGTAGCATATAATGGTACCACCCAAATCTTAAAGGGACAGGATTCGTGGGGATATTTTATAAATGGATTGGTGACCTACCCATGGTATGTGGAGTATTCCTTCATTTAAAGGAGAAGGCTTGTTTTTAACTTGAGGATAAAGTATTTTCCATTTTTTCCTAAACCTAGAACTTTCCTTTACAATACCATTTTTGACTGTGAATTTTTTTTATTTCATTGACGTTTTAATTTACCTTTTTGTTGCAAGTTCTTCCATGAGATACAGTGTAGTTTAAAATGACCATTGTGTGTGGTCAAATCTGTAAAATGTTTCTGGATGCGTTTTGCAATAATACAATTAATTGTCAAAATACAATTCTCTGAAACTTGGTTTGGTTTTATTTCAACTGGTCTTTCATTTGATTTTATTTACATTGAGCACGTCATAAATAGACATGGTGACACATAGAATCTAAAAATTACACCCAAATTGTTATCTAATCAGTTTGCTGCTTATAAAATAGACACATCACTTTAATACCCATGTTTAATTTAAACATATCTAAAAGTGCAGTAGAGTTTAATTGCAACTGAGCATATTTTCTCTGTTACTTTGAAAACCTGGTGTGTGATGTAATATTGTAAAGTAATTTGTAGTCCTAAATCCAGCATAAAACATAATCCTGGATGGGAAGTGATTTGTCAGATTTTATTTTAGATGATGCTTTATTAAAAATAAATGCAAAAACCTTAGAATTATACTTTACTGTGATATATAAAATTTTCAATAATTTAGAAATATATAAAGCAATTGTTTTTATTCTATTTAAAAAATGAAGTAATAATATTGCTCATTGAAAGCTAAAATGTGTTTTTGTAGCTTGAAAGAACTTGTATTAATTGTTTTGAATGGAAATGACTTAAATATGTCACAAACTGTCATTTTAAATATTAGTTCTTTTGTTACAGCACCCAGCCAATTCTTTAATGAAACAACTTGGCTTGCTGCAATGTTTTCCCCCCCCATGTCCTTTACAATGTATGTAGCTACACATTTAGGCCCTAATCACCAGTTTTCTCTCCTGTGCAGGATTTGTTTTTTGTTTAGGTTCACATTCAGAGCTTGGAAGCAGGAGATCCTGGCAACGTATTCTTCAGGCTACACATATGATGATGTAAACCAACTGTGCCCCAATCATCTTCCCCTTCTCTTAGGCTCTTGGTAGACATTGCAACTACTGATTCAAGCACAGAAAATGAGATGAGCATGAAGTTTGGAGCTACTCTGAAGAATTGCAGACATCTCTTGGAATCTGCTAAAAAGCTAGGGATTCAGGTGGTTGGTGTCAGGTGAGTAGTGTGCTTATCTTTGTACAATGTGGCGGTTTGCCTCAAGATGAGCATAAAGCAAACAGTCTAATCTTGATTGGATGGACTGAATAACCTTTTGTTTAATATGCATCTATGATTTCAAAGTTGAATCTTAAATCAGAGAACAGAGATAAAAAAAAAGAACAAACCTCAGGAGACCCTATCCTGCATGAAAGGCGCAATATAAATGTAGTTATAACATTTGGTGCAGATTGCCCCTTTATATCCATTTTTATACCCTTGGGATGCAACTTCCTCTTTGACCGTGCCTATAGTGACCTCCCCGACTCGGCATCATGCTACACCACTGTCAAGTGCTCTTAGACGCTACCCTGCGTGAGGGGCACTATATAAATGCAAATTACTGTTGTACCTAACTGGCACATGTTTAACAACTTGCATTTATATAGTGCATTGTACTTAACAAATAGTTGTAGAGATTAATTAAAAATTAAGTGAATTTTATGTAGGTAAATGTGACAGCAAGTTTACACCAGCAACAACAGTTTAAAAAAAGAGATGGTAGTTTCTCCCACTGTCTTGGTCAACAATTACAATACAATACAAAATTACATTTGAATAGCGCCTTTCACGTCTGGATGACGGTCCAAGGCACTGGAGAGTCAGGAATTTGGACCCGAGCTGGTGGGGGTTTGGGATCAGGGAGAGTGACTAAAAATGCAATCAAAGAGGAGGTTATTGAGACGTGCCTTGAAGGAGACAAAGGGACTATGGAGTAGGGGCAGAGAGACTGACCGCTGCCTGCTGTGTGGAGGGAGCGGACAGGTTGCTATGGGGTTAGCAGGTCACAGGTAGGAAAAAAGAGCAAGGCTGTGGAGGGCCTTGAAGGAGAGGACAAGGATTTTAAAACTCTATCCTCTTGGAGATGGGGAGTTTGTGGAGCCGGGCGAGGGTGGGGGTGATAGGGTCATGGAGCCTGGTGCTGGAGAGGACATGAGCTGCAGAGTTCTGGATGATCTGCAGCTTGTGGAGGGAATAGTTTGGAAGGCCCACAAGCAGTGGGTTGGCGTAGTCGAGCCTAGATGTGATAAATTGTAAGCTCGTGGCTGTTTGTGGGATTTTGCTATGCAAATTAGCTACTCTTTTTTGCCCCCAAATGCACCTGCACTTTGCTTTCCAGTAAATTTTGTGAAGTATTTGAGACAATTTGATACATAACTATATCAAATGCAAGGATTATTATAACGATGAAATAAATATCCAATCAATTTGAATTGGAGTGAATTTGGGTGAGGAGAGAATGTTATGAAGGATAAGTCCACATTTCTTTGCAGTTGTGCAGGAACTTCCTTAAAATCCCCCTGAAGCATAAAGCAGATGGAGCCTAAAATAATGACTCAAGTTGGGTGAGGGAGGCGGGGGGAATATGATTTGGAAATAATTACTAAACTTGTATTTAATGTAGAAGGTTTGTTGTGCATGTAAATACAACCACCAATGTGAACCAGCAATATCCCAGAAACAGTAATAAGTTGACTTAGACAGATTTAAATATTGGCCCATTTCATATGACATACTACATTTAAATTTACATTTTTTAAAAAAAAAACAAATTGAAGAATAGGAACAAGAAAACTGGGGGTAAATAAATAAATGGAGTGCAACAACAAGATTACATCTGTGTAGCGCCTTTCACATCGGGAGGATGGGTACGGGTGGATGGGAAGCTCCAGTCCACAATAGCAGCCAATATGGAGAAGGTTAGAGGTCTTGGATCAGACACTGTGCCGTGCAGGTTCCAATTCGTCTTCCTTTGTGTCTTTAGTTAGACCCTCAGGCTATATAGCAATGCTCTGTTCCCTTCCATGTATCTTGAGTCCACTGTAGCAATGTTCTCTCCATTGTTATAGTTGTGTAAAAAAAGAGGGGAAAAAATGCAGTTTCAATTAAATTTAATTTTATAAGAAATTACTGTAATTAGATTGTGGCCCATACAGTAGAAAGCATAATATCTGCACTAATTGGGATCAGTTCCATTGTGAAGAATGAAATCAATGCAAATATTGGGCCTATATCTGTTTCTTTTTCTTTCTCTCTCATCCTGTACTTACCCCGGTTCACGTTTCATTATCTCGAGCTGCTCAGTTAAACCAACTTAAAAAAAAATGTTGACTTCACAGCCAATTGAACATCTGCATCACAGGCCCAATACGAGTAAGCAGACATGGGAATAGCCGTTTCAGATTGGAATACAATTATATAGTACATCTGCACAAATTGCAACCAGCACAGATATCAAGTAATCACACCAAATATAAATGACTGTGCCAGCTTTTCTCACTCTTTCTTTCTCGCTCTCACGGCCTTTCTAACTGCCTTTCTCTCTCTGCCTATCTGCCTTGTGTGTACTGCTGCGGTTAATATATTAAATTATACATGTTTAGAACGTATAATTTAATATATTAATATATTTGGAAATATAATCAGGAAACAGATCCAGTAATTTGTACCAAATAGTTCTATTAATAATTCTGTGTACACGAAAGACACAAGGCATGCAACCTATCCATTTTTAAGGCTGATTGAAGATGTCATTTAAAGTGTTCTGAATTAAATTGGAGATCACCAGGTTAAAAAAAAGTGGCAGAGATTCATCAACAATCTGATGGCTTAAGTCTGTGAAAGGGAATTCTGCTAGTAACTGGCAGAATGTGCGGCCAGTTACTAGCAGGGATCCCCATGACAAAGAGCTGGACGTAAATTGCAGGATTCCCACAGGTTGGCTGTCATGTATTGTCAATTTCTCCGTTAGTGACTAAATTGCTGTTGGTGAATATTATTGCAGATCACTGCTTCTTCACCCTCATTGCCTGGTGGAGTGGACACTATTATACTGAAATGATTTGAAATGTAAAAACATGATGGAAATTGTTAGCAGTTCAGTGGAAAAGAAGGGGGAAAAAGTCAATGCTTCAGCATCATATGTTCATATACTGAATATCCTGCAGTGAATTTCCAGCATTTCAGATGAATTTTCTACTGATAATTTTGCAGTTCCCTTGTGTTTTAATTACTTATCCATTATATTGATTTATAGAAGGTGATCACAAAAGGTAAAATGCGCTTTTTTTAAAAAAAAATCTCTTTACCAGATTTCATGTTTCAACCTTGGCTGGCAGTAGAGAGGCATATTTACATGGCTTGGCGGATGCTCGGTGTGTCTTTGATATGGCTGTGAGTATTCTATTTGTGTTGTCATCAAATCAAAGTTACTTTCACAACATCTAGTTAAGAAATAGTTATAATACCACATTATGGTCTTTCACCCATTACAATAAATCAATGTCGATGAATCAATTTTTTTAGTTTGCTTGGAAAGCTTGTTTGGGAATTGAACCTTCATACCATATAAACTTTACATCAGAGGTTGCCTGCTCCTCAGTATTAAAAATGACTTAAAAATCAGACTGCAAATATTAAATGGTTCAATTCCCAGCAGGGTGAAACCTTGGGCAAGTTTCCTTATTCCACACGCCTAATAATAATCACTCCAAAAAACAAAGCAATAATAAAATTGGTCATTTTCAATCCATGACTGTTTGTCGGACATTGCTGTGCGCAATTGGCTGCCGCGTTCGCCCACAAATATACAGTCAATTCACTTTACAGTATATTCTGTGAAGCGCTTTGGGACGTCCTCCCGACGTGAAAAACGCTATATCAAATGCAAGGATTATTATTATTATTATTATTATTATACCTGATAATAATCCCTCAGGAAAAAAAATTGTTCAATCCATGACTGTTTGTGGGACATTGTTGGCGCAATTGGCTGCAGGTTTCGCTCACAAGTATACAGTCAATTCACTTTACAGGGTAGTTTGTGAAGCGCTTTGAGACTTCTAGAAGACGTCAAAAGTGCTATATCAAATGCAAGAATTACTATTAAATGCTATATTTTAAGAAGATTAATAGACAAGAGTGCCATCTGCTGGTAGAAGTAGATGTTTATCATATTCAGTTCACTACAAATATGGATATTTTTGCTAAAATTCATCTTTAAAGGTTTAGAGAAAAGATAACTAGTTTTATAAATCATCACATGTGGGCTCCATTGACTTCTGCCGATTTCACTGCCCTCTTCTCCCTACACCTTACCCTCCATATAAACTCACCTGCCCACAATTGTGGTCATGCACTTGACCTCGTCATCACCCATAGTCTTGACATTTCCGACCTCAGCATAGTGGACAAGGCCATCTCGGACCACTTTTTCATCTTCTTCTCCTCTCAATCCCCCTCTCCTCCACCAAGCCCTCAACCATCCTCTACCGCCTTTGGAAAAGGCTACCACCTGAGACCCTCACAAACGCCCTCTCATCATCAAGCATCCTATCCCTCTGGCCCTCCACCCGCAGAGATCCTGAAGCAGCCGTCCAGCTGCTCCATGATCTTCTCTCCTGCACCTTCAACTCCCTCGTGCCCCAGAAATCCAGGACCATCTCCAAACCCACCCGATCCCCCTGGTACAACAACCATCTCCGCCACCTAAAAACCCAAACCCGGCTGCTCGAGCGCAGATGGCGGAAAACTGGCCTGACAGTCCACCTCCAACTGTGGCTCGAGCATCTCCACAGCTACCGCTGTTCCTTGACTTGTGCAAAAACAGCCTTCTACTCAACATCATCTTGGGGGCTAAACACAACCCTAAAATCCTTTTTTCCACCACCCACTACCTCCTCCGTGCCCCCCCCTCAGGCCTCAATCTTCGTATCAAATGCCAAGTGCGAGGAGGTCATGGTCTTCTTTTCTTCTAAAATACTTAACATCCGCCAGGCAGCCTCATCCACCTGCCCCTTGTCACCCACCACCATACCCTCTCTGTCCCCCTCACCTTCCTCATCATCTGCTCCTACCACCACCCCCATTCATTCCTTCCTCCCCATCTCTCCCTCCTCCTCCTCACCCACCATCACCTCCATGAAACCCACCACCTGCTGTCTTGACCCCCTCCCCACCAACTTACTGGTCACCCAGCTCCCCCTCCTCTGCCCACTACTGGCTGACATCATCAACCAGTCCATCTCCTCTGGATCAATCCCTGCCTCCCTCAAAACTGCTGTCATCACCCCCCTTCTGAAAAAACCCACCCTAGATCCCTCAAACCCCAGCCACTACCGCCCTACTTCTAACCTGCCCTTCCTCTCAAAAGTTTTGGAACGCGTAGTTGCCAACCAACTCCGCGCACACCTCTCCTCCCACTCCCTCTTCGAACCCCTCCAGTCCGGTTTCCGCCCTGCTCACAGTGCAGAGACTGCACTTGTGAAAGTCACAGACAACATCCTCTCTATCCGTGACCAGGGCTCCCTCTGCCTCTTTGTCCTCCTGGACCTCTCCGCCGCGTTCGACACAGTCGATCACGCCATCCTCCTCCACCGCCTTTCCTCCGTCATCCACCTCAGTGGGACCACACTCGCCTGGTTCGAGTCCTACCTCACAAACCGCCAGCAGTACATCTGCACAAACGGCTTCTCCTCCCGCTCTCACCCGATCACCTGCGGGGTACCCCAAGGATCCATCCTTGACCCCCTCCTCTTTCTGATCTACATGCTCCCTCTTGGGGATGTCATCCGCATACATGGGGTACATTTCCACATGTATGCGGATGACACCCAACTCTATTTACCACCTCTCTTTGCGAACCCCAGTCCCCTGATGTTCTGTCAGCCTGCCTGTCAAATCTCAGGGGCTGGATGAACGCAAACTTCCTTCAGCTGAACGTTGACAAAACAGAAGACATACTCTTTGGCTCTCGTCGACGACTAAAATCTCACGGCTCTCACCTCCTCCACCCCCCCCTAAAACTCTCCGAACCCGTACACAACCTAGGCGTCAGGTTTGACCCCCAATTATCCTTCCCCCACATCCGGTCCCTCACCAGCACCGCTTTCGTCCACCCCCGCCGTATCCGCCAATACCTCTCCCCAAAAGCCGCTGAAACCCTGGTCCATGCCTTTGTCACCTCGGCTGGACTACTCTAACGCCCTCCTCGCCGGCCTCCCCTCCACTACCATCCATAAAATCCAAATCATTCAAAACTCTGCCGCCTGCATTCTCACCCACACGAAACTCTGCTCCCCGGTCACCCCAGTCCTTGCCAGACTACACTGGCTGCTTATCCCAGAGAGGATCGATTTCAAGATCCTCACCCTTGTATTCAAGTCCCTGCACTCCTCTGACCTCTCTCCTCAAAACAGTACCCGTTGCCTTCGTTCCTCCGGGTCTGGCCTAATCCTTGTCCTCCGCTCCACCCTCGGCCGCCGTGCCTTCAGCCACTATGCCCCGAGGTTCTGGAACTCCCTTCCTCACTCCCTTCGCCTCGCTCCCTCCCTTCCCATTTTCAGGTCTCTGCTGAAGACCTTTCTCTTCGACCGCGCCTTTGGTCACCTTCCTCCTCCCCCTGGCTTGCTCCCGGGATCCGTTACTGTGAAGGGCTGAGACGCCGTCCAGCGTGGAGGGCACTATATAAATCCAAGTTGTTGTTGTTGACTGCATGTTTTACGAGATAATATGCCAGAGGCCTCAGTGTCTGGAGTAATCCTGCACACGTACTGCCTAAATAGGACAAAAGATGTTTTATAAAGACTTTAAAAAGATTTTTGTTTCTGAGGTTTTCTCTTAATTTAAAGGGATTTTGTTTTTAACATGTTGTTTAATTCTATTTTAAGCTGAAGAAAGTCACTCAGTCTCATACAGTTCCTGTCCACCCAGCTATTGCTTCTGAACTTCTGCCCGTCGACCTATCAATCTCAGCTTTACTTCTGCCGTAGTACCTCACTATTTCAAAACTGCCCTTTTCACCTCCCCTTTTCAAAAAAACAAACACAATACACCGGACTCCTCCAAACTCTCCAGTTACTGCCCCATCTCCAACCTTCCCTACCTCTCCAAGGTCCTGGATTCCCAGCTTCACTCTTTCCTCTCCCACCAGTCCCAGTATGAGTCTGTGCAATCTGCATTTCAACCTTGCCTGCATCATTCAAAAAGGTCCCATAACGACCAATTTCTCTGGCACCTTTTAACAGTGTTGACCACTCCATCCTTCATTGCTTCTTCTCCCTTGAGGAGAAGGAGGTGTGGATAATGAGTTCTGCGCAAGCATGAATTGCAGTGTTTAGCTTGTATCCTTGGGACCATACTCAAGTATTTCTAAAGCATGCTTTGGGGCTATGAGGAGAATTCGACAAATTATATGTACCTATAGAAAATATAGTAAGAACAGATCATAAAAGTTGAATAAGGAGACAAAAGGATGTGAAGGCTAAGTTACATTATTTGAAAAGATGAACTGAACAGTGGTGTTCTTTCAAATACCATTGTTCAGTTCATTTTATAACATAATAGTTAATTTATAAAAGGTGCTACAACTTAACTATTTAAAACTGAAATTATGTGTAATACATTCCCATTTTGTTGTAGTAATGTCTGTATCTTACAGGAAGAGTTTGGTTTCAACATGAACTTTCTGGACATTGGAGGTGGATTTTCTGGGACAGATTGTGAATTACAACTTGAAAAGGTAGGAGAGAGCCCTTATACTTCCAATATTTAAGTAAATGAGTTCTAAGGATGGGGCTATAAATTCTTATGTAGCCTACCACAGAACAATCAGATGTTATCAATCTCAACTGTGCTGTCATGGTCAAGTAAGCAAACAATAAATGTGTTTACGGGGGAGTGAAAGTGTGAGAATGGACTACTTTAAAGCATTTGATGGCAATAGCACAGGCCTGAAAGCATGTTTCTCTGCACAGAATGGGAAAGAACAATGAAGCATTGTTTTTATATATGATAAAGCACTTAAATAATTTGCATATAAACCAGTTGTTTATATGTTTATTTTTAGAATGTGCGTGACTGGGTTTTCATATGTAGCTGGTAGTCGTATGTGAACATTATTAAATAGGGCTGGCCATTAGTCTTGGGTGACTTTATTTTAAATTCTATATAATACAGATGATAAATATCGTTTGATGCTGTATACAATTGTGATTTTTGTCTCCCAATTCTAGGTTTTTGATGCCATCAGTCCACTCCTTGATATTTACTTTCCTCCTGAAAGTGGTATTAAAATCATTGCTGAGCCTGGGAGCTACTATGTGAATTCTGCATTTACTCTGGCAGTAAACATTGTAGCCAAGAAGGTTGTTGCAAGAGACTCTCAAGATCAGTCTGGAGGTAATCCCATTGTTTTTGTCTTTCATCAGCAATAGAATTAAGAAGATGACAATAGTGAGTTAATGCTGTTCTCTGGTTACCACCATATCAATAAATTTTAATAACCAATTGCAGTGAATTTGGTGTTTTTAAAGCTTTTTTTTAAGTTCTGTCTGAAGGTTATCAGAACTTAAGGAAAGAGTCCAATATAGGTTCATGAATCTGATACTGAAAATGAAAGGATACGACCACGAGGAGCTGCTAGGGAGGTTAGGCTTCTTTCCATTGAAGTGGAGAAGATTGATAGTGTTTATAAGATAAAGACAGTCCGAAAGAATTAATTGTGAAAAATTCCCTACACTGCTAGGGAGTTTGAGAACAAGAGGGCATAAATTCAAGACTAACAAAGGGACTAACTGGAGAGGTCTGGAAGAACTGCTTATCCCAGAGGGTTATGAGAATATGGAATGATTTGCTGGAGCTGACTATGAAAGCAGTCGATTAGGGCATTTAAAAAAGAATTGGACAAGCATGTGCTGTGGAAGAGAATTAGATAGAGCAGGGAATTGGGATTTGAATAGATGACTATTTGGAGAAGATTGGAAATTAAAGCACATTTTTGGAGCCCCTGACAAAAAAAATAGTTAGTGATGTGCCTCAGAGATTGAAGGGAGGGACATCTTATTTATATTAAATGTGCTGGACATAGGCTTAAAGAAAATAATATCCAAATTTGTGGATTGCTAACTATCAACTCGTGCAGAATGTGTGGAACCTTGAAAACTTTGTTCAACCCTTCAACTCTTGTTTGACTTTTATCCAGGCTTTAACCAAGTTTGTCAAAATCTATCTAAAGAACAATTGATAGTGCCTTCTGCCACCTCCCCCCACTCCCTTTTTCTCCCTCCCATCTTTGAACTCCCACTCAGTCTTTGTAAAATGCTATGAGATATTTTTCATACGTGGAAGGCATTATACAAATATAGACTGTTGTTGATGTTAAATTAGGAGATGTTAACAGTGACATGAAGTGACAGAGTACAGAAATTAATACATTTAATAAAATTGGTTGGTGATTCCAACACAAAGTTAAAGATTTAAATAATATCAGGTTGCAACTAAAGAATTAAGAATTAAGTATTTTTTTCTCTCTGAGGGTAATCAGTGTATACAATCATTTGCCAGGGTGGCTGTTGAAGCAGAGGAAGGGTATTGAGCTGGGAATTGGAATTAGGGTGGATGGCTTCATTCGAGGAATAAATGCTAATGTTAAATGACCTCGTGCTGTGCTGTACATTTGTTTGGTTGTGCAGTGCCTTGGCAATGTACCTTTACAAACTACTTGCTGCATCAGTTTCCTCTCCTGTTTCCTTCCAACCTGGTAGCTTCCATGAGTGAGGTTGCCAGGTTGTCGGTAGGTTTATGCAGTTGTTTCAATTAACAACTGGAGTGGGACGGATGAAAACCCTTTTCATAAATGACCCTTAAAGCTGTCAAAAAGAGATCAATCCATCTGTTGGATTTAAACCCAGCTACCAATCTACTGGTCACCCAGTTCCCCAATTACTTGCTCTCTGTTGTAATATTGATTAGTGGTAAAAGTATAGAGTTCTGAAAATAATCCAGGCCAAATGTGATGTCCTTGATGTTTTACAGTGGTAGAGTCCACCATGAACGATGAACCATTCTTCATCTATTACATAAGTGATGGTGTTTATGGGTCTTTTGCGAACAATTTGTATGGAACTATGAGTGCCATTCCAATTCTTCACAAGGTGAGATTGCTATATGGGAGAGCGGGTATAATGTGGAGGCCTGTAGCATATTGGTTAGAGCACTCACCTCGTAAGCAAGAGGACCCGGGTTTCATTCCCGGGCAGAGTGAAACCTTAGGCAAGTTTCCTCACTCCACAAGCCTCTGTTTACCCAGCAGTAAGTAGGAACTCGGTTGCTAGTCGATTGTCGGATTGCTTTTCCGGGAGTAATAATACCTTCAAAAAATAATAATTTGGACATGCAATCCACGACTGTTTGTGGGACATTGCTATGCATAATTGGCTACTGCGTTCCACCCACAAAATATACAGTCAATTCACTTTACAGTATATTCTGTGAAGCACTTTGAGACTTCTCAAAGACATGATAAGGTGCTATATCAAATGCAAGGATTATTATGCTATGAATTTGAACACTTCATTAGCTTTTTGAAGTCACCAAATAAAATTGAGTTTTTATACAAAAGCTTAATTGTAATTTTGTAAATTGGCCCAAGCCCAGACTAAATCTGAACTGGTGTAGGACTAGCTGTTCATAGCGAGGGCTAGTTCTAGATTAAAAATGTCATGCTCATCAGTTCGGTGAGCGGATACGTGTTGCTTTGGGAAGAGAAAATAAAGGATCCAGCCTAGACTCATTTAGATTTGAAAACGAGTACTATTACAGATCATAGCTGTTTGTGAAATATTGTTGTGACCAAACAGGCAGCCATCTTCACCTACAGAGTACACAGTCTCATCATGTAACAATAAATCCAGTGAATCGCTTTAAGATGTCGTCCTGACTTGAAAGGAGCTATATCAAATGCAAGGATTATTTGAGATATTGTAAGATACATATTTAACAGCTGTGAACATCTTTTGTCTTTATCTCTTAAATAAAATGTGAGATGCTGCAGTAGAATTATCCTGATAATCTTGTTTTCTTTTGTTTAGAACCCAAACTCAGAGGGACCTGTATTTGGCAGCAGCCTGTGGGGCCCCTCCTGTGATGGACTTGATCAAGTTGTAGAGCACTGTCTCCTGCCCGAACTGAATGTTGGTGATTGGGTCATCTTTGAAAACATGGGAGCATACACCTTAGAGCAGTCTGCGTTCAGCGAGTTCCAGAGACCCCCAGTGTATTGTGTGATGTCGATCAATGATTGGTAAGTGATGATTGTTTACCAAATTAATGTGAAGGAAATGTAATATTTATAAATAATAAACAAACAGTTCCTTATAGAACAAATTTAGTTATAACGTAGTGAACCCCATTCGCTTTCATGCATGTAGCCAGCCCATCTGCTTCCCATGTGCCAGCTGACTTTCCTGGTATTGGGTTGCTGCTGATATCACTTCCTTGCGACATATGTCCAAAGCAGGAAATTATGCCTTCAGTGACCAAATAAGACAGAAGTTGGCCATTTTAGCTTCCTGTGTTTAAAAGACCAACTTCGGGGTCATCAGGTTTCCTATAACATCAATTTCTACTTTGCTCAAGCGTACCAAACAGAAAGTGATAATGGTGGTGACCGAATGATCCTAAAATCGGTCATTTTCCTTTTGATCGGGAAAACAACTGAGAGAGTAGATCAGTTGGCAGTGCTCAATGAAACTACTGTTGTGCCTGTTATATAGGTAGAATTTTATGGGTAATGAGGTTCCACTATATCACAAAACTAGTTGGAAAGACCATATTTGTTCATTCTGCTTAATGAAGTTTTGTTTTTTTGTCTCAGGTTTTCAATGCAGGAAGTTGGATTAACCTTGGACACATCTGTGAAGAATTTCTCTCGTGTGCCTTCTTGCTTTCAGCTGAGACAGGAACAAAATTTTTCTGCTGCTGGTTTGTCTGGCATCAGTGCTTAAATTATTGCAGTTTGCAGTTCTGTTCAATCGCATGTCTGGTTGACGTTCCAAAGAGGAATCGAACCAGTGGAACAATCCTGTTTGTTTAACTTTTTGCTGTTAAAATTTAACTCGAACACTTGAAATTGATGATTGGGACCAGGCAAAAATCAGCTGGAATAATTGCAAGTGGTCATGTGGAAAAAAATTAACATTTTTAACCATCTGAAATGAAACCTGCAAGTTGATGTTGTAACTTTTCTCTTTCTCTCTCCTCCCCCTTCCCCCACATACCAACAATAAAATATGCAACAAAATGGATGACTTGGAAGAGGTGGAAACCTATCAATAGGTTCCCTACTTAAACAGTTTACATGTTCACAATTTTTATACAGATATTCTTGTTATAGATGTCTTGAGTTCTTTATTTTGCCCATGTAACAGAATAACCAGAGTAATTTGACTTAAAATATGTAAAATGTTTAGGATGTGTAAAATTTGTGCTTTGTTCTGTAGTTTAATAAATGTAAAATTGCAGCAAAGTTTGTATGATCTAATGTTGTCCCTGTTTGACTTCCAATAAAATTGTGTAGCTTCTATGGACTTTATATTAATTGAATATTGAACTAGAGCAAAACAAACATTTCAATTTCTAACAAAATATGTTGTATCTTTTTAAATATCCGATGGAATACACAAAATAATGTAGTTGAGGGCCACATAATTTTATTTTTGGTTAATTTTAAATTAGGCATTTTCAATATTTCATACCATTAATTTCTTCTAGCAATTCTTTTACTCCTAATATTCTAGAGTTAAACTTAATAGAATTAAAATACACAGCAAACACAAGAGAAGAATACATGTATGCGAAAAGCCTTCTGGCTCTTATGTTTTCTAAGTGCGTGACAGATTTTGTTTCATTTTAAAGCTGGTATTTGAGAAAAGTGTTGGGAAGGGCAGAGCATCGAGAAGCACATTGTGAAACGTGTACAGTGAGAAGCTATCTTTTCCATGAAAATAGGACTATTTTCTGACCAACTTTAATTAATCCCTTCACTTGCAACTGTCCAACTGAGAAATTAACAAGCGACAAAGTTCATTTAAAGCTTTATATCTTGTCACTATAGTGTTTCCTGGAGAGAAATATTGAACTCACTGAGCTGCTTTCCAGTCTGTCATGCACCAGAAGTGCCTGACTGTTACCTTCCTGATGGGTGGAGAAAGAAGAAACCCAAACTTTGTCATGTAAAAGATTAACACAGTAGTTTTTGTTCAGAATTTGCGCTCTCCAGAAGATGGTAACTTGCTGGGCTACATTTCCATGGGTAGCCTCCAGAATGTCATTCTTCACAAGTGACCCAAACGCAATGAGCTTCAGGACCCAACAGGAGGTAAATGGGCTGCAGTTTGCCTATAAATAGATGGCAGCAATTACCTATTAAACATTTTGAAGCATTTGACATGATATATAATAGTGCCTTATATCAAGATGTCTCAAAGGTGCTAACTATAACAATTATTTGTAATACGGGCCACTGGTGACCTTCAAGTTTTCCTCTTGTCGCTTTTGAAAGCACTTCTTCATGCTGTGTTAAGCATGGTTTGAGGAGCATGATGAATTTGTGTAGCTTTTTAAAAAGTATTGTTGAAGCCTAGATTATAGCTAATGACATAATTCCTTTTTGTAACTTCAACTTTTTTTATTTACTAGGAGTTAAATACAATGATGAAATACAGCATGAAAATAGGTCTTTCAGCCCAACTAGTTCATGCTGCTGTTTATACTCTATACTAGCTTCCAGCCCTCTTAATCCTCTGTCTATAATCCCTCTATTCCCTCTTCCCTCAAATATGTATTAAGGGAAACAGGTGAAGTTGACATCTGTGGCATCCCAAAAGTGCAGCCTCCAGCTTTTTAGGTACTCATTGAGTCAGACATTTATGTCTGAGAAGCCGTTTGGGTAGCTGGTTCAGTTTGAATATGTTTTCAATGGGATAAGCTTCCTCTTGCTTCTCCAGTTAGGACTGCTCTACCTGTCAGGGTCAACAGGAGCTGAGTGGGAAGAATTTGTGCTCCTAGTGTCTTGTCTATACGTCCAAATCCTGCCAACGAGCCAGATCTGGCTGGTCTATCATCAGCAGTGACCTGAAGTACTTTAAGGAGACGTTAGTCAGAAGTACTGTGTCCCCATCTAGCTCAGTAACGGGACTTTGGTTTAATGTCTCTTTAAGGATGCAGTGTTGTATTGGTGTGTCAGCCCAGACTATGAGATCAACGTCCTTCCTTGGACCTACAACCTTCTGACCCAGAGGTGAGAGTGCTACCAACTGAGCTGGGCTAACACCGTACATGGTGTCCAATGGGTTCAGCTGGTCAACCCTATTATACAGACAAGATCAGGGTCAATTGAAAAGCCATTGATTTCTTCTTGAATCACAAGTCTGGTCAAGCGTGGAACTCTGCACTTGGATTGGTGACAGGTTTCACAGTGACTGATACGCAGCTGATCACGGCAAAAACAGGTCGGGACATGTCTAGAGAACGTAGATCACGATGTCAACTCCACTCCCCTTCCAACAGTGAGCTGGAAATTCAGCTTTCAGGGGTTTGTTTACTTTCACTCGCTTTGCCTTCAGCTGAAGCTATGCTCGCAATGGATAACCAGAGAGACGGCCTCAGTCGTAATCCTCATGTTTCACCCGCAAAGTATACTCTGCGAAGAGCTTCGAAATATCCGAATGACGCGATAAAGGGTCATATCAAATGCAAGGATTATTAATTATTATGATGTCCAGCATTCAGATCAATGGTGCCTTCTCTCTCTCTCTCTCCCCCCCACCCCACTCCTACTTTTGAATGCACTGAGAGTCATAAATCCCCGAGTGACGGTGAGTCAGGGAGAGGGGCTGTTTCTGCGTGGGCTGCAGAGCAGCAGCAGAGCAGAGCAGGAGCAGAGCGCACCAGTCCGGGGTTCTGTGTACCACGTCTGCATCCACGGAGGGATCATGCCCGCGCCCAGGCGCTGATCACGCAGCCCACACCTCCCCATTGGCCGGGGAGGGACACACCTCGCAGTGCAATTGGCGGCGCTGGGAGCCGGCGCTCGGGCTGACTGGGAAGCCCATGGCGTTCCCATCAGCTGCCGCCGCCCACAAGCTGCCAAGTGGCCGCGGAGGAGGCAGGAGACAGCGCTCCGCTTCCTTTGTGTCTCCCCCCGGGCTTCAGCCCAGGCTCCCCCTCAGCCTCCTGCACTGCACTGCACAGCACTGCACCGCACAGCACTTACTGTGAGTACTCACTCATTCAGCACTTTGGCCACAAATGTGTGTGTGTGTGTGTGTTTGTTAAAAAAACACCACCTCTCAGTGTGACTGTCTGTGTGGATTGATGTGAGGAGGGACGTCTGGCTTTGTGCATGAGATTCTCCAGCTCCTTGGGACGCCCTCCCCTACCTGAAAGGCTCTCTGCAAATGTAACTTGTTGTTGTCCTTGTTGTTGTTGTTGTTGAGGATTCTTCCCCTCTTCCCTCCCCCCTCCCCCTCCCACCCCCCAATCCTTTGCCTTTTTGCTGGTCTCCCTCTTCCTCGCAGCGTTTCCGCTAAGAACGTGCATTTTTGTCCCATCGCATTCGGAGAGCTTTGGCTGTCATTCATAATGTGAATCAATGAGAAAATATATTGCATTGTAAAAGGTCGGTGTTGGTTATACTGTATTAAGCGCTCTGGGACGCAATTTGCCCGCGAAGGCTATACAAGTGCAACTTGTTGTATTTCTTTTAAAAAGTCTGAACCGTCTGTTGGGTTAATAGTTGTACATCGCCCCCTTCCTCCCACTCTGGCTGCGAATTATTGGAAATACCAATAAAAACAATATAACAATAATAATCCTTGCGTTTGATATAGCGTCTTATCATGTCTTTGAGACATTTCGAAGCACTTCACAGAATATGTTGTAAAGCGAATTGACTATATTTTGTAGACGAAACAGTTGGGTTTGTGTTGATTAATACACACACTACTAATGCAACTGATTTAAATTGACTTGCGAAGTGAAGTTTCTTGGGTGCTGCCCTTTGTAGTGGTATAGGTAGCAGTGCTGTGTTGTTCTCCTGAACTTGCGCTTTTTCTCTGTGTCTGGGGATCTCTTGTTTGTAAGTGGGTGAGAGGTCGCTGTGGTGACTGGTTCACTCGTGTTCGTGCAGTGCTGACTAGCAGCAGGGAAGCATGCAGCGTTCACATGAACCCATGCACAGCCTGTGCCAGAAATTAAAATATGTTTGTAGCCCAAAATCCACCAAATACTTGCCCAAAAGTAGCCCAATATAATGTGTTGCCTTCCGCAGGGTAGCAGAGTGGCCGATTTAGGTTAGTGCTTTTGAAACTGTGTGAGAAAAGGTCTTCAAAGAAACCAATTAATTTTTACAGGTTTAATTTTTTTCAAGTTAGGCACCCGTTCAATTTGGCGTGAATCCGTGCCCAATCTGGCAATACTTATTGCCTTGTGGGCTGGGCTCAGCCAACCCAGGCTGTGCGATTGGGCCAGTGTGTGGGTGAAGTGAGTGAGCAAGTGTGGGTGGGTGTGTTGGTGGGGTGGGAGTGCAGTGTCTGCAGAGTATGTATGTGGGGGCAGTATCTGGGGATTGGGCAGGTGATGGGGTGTGCCCACTTCATGTGAGTTGTTCCTCGACTAAGCTGATCAGTATGGCTCCTGAATCATTAGGATTTCTAGCTAAGTCATCATCAGTTTGCTCATTAACTTATAAAGTAACGCATTGAGCGAAAACCTAATCTAAGAATTTTAAGTGACCACTATAGGCAGGGCGAAACCTTGGGAAAGTTTCCTTACTCCGCACGCCTAATAATAATCACTCCAAAAAACAAAGCAATAATAAAATTGGTCATTTTCAATCCATGACTGTTTGTGGGACACTGCTGTGCGCAATTGGCTGTCGCGTTCGCCCACAAATATACAGTCAATTCACTTCAGTATATTCTGTGAAGCACTTTGGGACGTCTAGAAGACGTGAAAGGCGCTATATCAAATGCAAGGATAATTATTATTATAGGTAAATTCAAGTTTTGACCACTCTTGCAGTGCCACAAGTAGTTATTATTATTATGGGTTGGGACCCTTAATTCTCCATGTTGCTGAGTTGCCTAATCCTGAGGTTACACTGAACCGGGGCTGGTTATTTTCCAAAGAAGGATGGGGATTAGAATTGAAGAGAAGAGTCATTGATGGGATGCAGTTGGATGCATTAGTTTGTGAATTGAAGCAACCAGGGAAGGCAATTAATGAGAAAAATAACTTCTGAAACAAATGTACTCCTAATGGCAATAAATGACACATTAAATTGCTAATGCTCAGTATCAAAATTGGGTATCAGGGTGACCGGGTGTCAGTGTTTTTTTTCATATATGATTTAGCTTAATGGATTCTTCATTTTTGCCCAATATATAAGAGATTTATTCTTGATTATCCCTATGTTTAGTTATAAAAGGGTGTGTTGGTAATCTACTGTGCTTCAGGCAATGTCTTCACAAAGGAGTTTGTTTTAATATTGATATTTTAAGCAGTATGCAGTGCCTTGGAATTTGTTGCCTGAATTTAGGAATACTTTCTTATTCGGTTGTTTCTTTCAAATAAAATAGGTTCAGCAGAAACTGTAGAACGAACATACAATGGCACCTGAGAGCTGGTTGGTGTTTTAAGAAGCCTCTATATACAAATGTCGCTAAATATCAGGCTCTGGCTATTCTAGTTGTTTAAAGCACCAAAAAGTACTGGGACTGTTACTAGTGTTGATGGGAATTAACCTCATATCGACCTGTCCGCTACATCCACTCAGCGGGCTCCAACCTGCTCCATGTCCCCCACCCGGCCAGTCCCACCATCGGTGGTCGAGCCTTCAACCTTTCTGCCTTTCTGCCCCCACCCTTTGGAACTCCATCCACAGTCCCTTCAACTTTCTCCCTCCTTTGCCTCCTTCAAAGCCTGTCTAAAGACCCTCCTCTTAGACCGTACCTTCGGTCATCTTCCTAGCACTACATTGTTCTCACTACATCTTACAATAAAATACTGTGAAACACTTTGGGAGGTTTTGACAGTATGACGAGATGCTATATCAAATGCAAGTATTATTATTGAATTAGAAAAAACAGAGCTCTATGCACATGTAGCAAAAAAGTTTACACTCTGGGCTCTTTTTCATCAGATTGCTAATCACCAGTGACACTGGAAAAGACCTGGCTAGCCCTTCCTTTAAACATTCCTGCGGATGTTGCACGTTTATTATAAATGTTGTTGGGGAGATGGAGAGAAATGAAAATCTGCAGTGAAATTAGATTCCTTGCCAGTATCCATTTCTAATGAGGAAATTGCTGATGACTGTAAACTTGCTGCCCAGGAGAATCTTTGCACTTGTGTTTGGTGAGGAGTGGAATGTTGAACTGCTCTCACTATACCAGAGATATCAGATTCCAAATTTCAGTAGTTCAGCTCATTGATCGCTTCTTACACAGCAGTTTAATTTTTAAGTTTCATGTATTCTTTGAGGTTGCATTTTTCAGAAAAAGGAAAAGGAGCATGAAGCTTTGAGTAAATTGTGCACTACGTTCCCTTCTTGGTAATTTATGTAAAACAGTAATAATAATCCTTATGTTTGGTGTAGCACCTTTCACGTTGGGATGTAAAGTGTAATGTGTTTTGTGGGCAAAAAACACAGGTGAAAATGTCAGCAGGGTTTTGAAATCCATCCTTAAAAGAGTTAAAGTATTTTGTCATCTGCATTACCACTCTAAACAGTACTCCTGCTCCCAGGAAGCCTGTTGGAGTTGTTAAACTGCATACATAACTATCAATTTTCTTTCCTCTTCCTCCCCTGCAGGACAAATCAATGGAAATGGATTACAAAAAGTACAGTGAGTGTTTTTGGACCAGTGGTACAGAGAAAGGCGACATCGAAGCAGTTGAAGCACTCATGTCAATGAGCTGTAGTTGGAAAACAAATGTCAAAAACTACACTGATCTTAGGCCATTGACCCCGGTATCTGATGGGTCTGAGGAAACTGAAGATGGTGTACCCAGCTCTCCTGACTTCCATACTTTACCACAGTTTGTAAGTACTGAGCCATCAGATCAAAGATCACTTAGAGCGATCCTGCTTTATGTTGAGTCAGCTGATTAAGAATTGACCTCAACAATTTTGAGCTAAGGAGGGAAAATCAGTGGAGGTTGAAAACTTGTAGGACATTAGATGAGGGGAGGATTAAGCTCAATCACGATGTTCCCCTCCCCATCCTAAAGCAGCCTGCCTGCTTTCTCTAGGCTAATGTACAGTCACTAGGCAAGGTACCGCAGCATTGATGGTGCCTGTGGAACTGTATTCAAGCATTGGAGGCTGTTTTGAAGCGGGGAGGGAAGAACTGGAGAAAGAGGAAGGGATAAGAAAGGCAGTTAAGAATACAAATATTTGGCAATGTTAGCATTGCTTCAAAGTGCTAAACTATTTATTGAAAGCCTGGCTCTTAACTTTCTCTTCTCTTATCTGTAGTGTCTGACGCCACCATACAGCCCTCCGAACTTTGAGGTGTCTCAAGTGGTTCATCCTCTGATGAGAGCCCTGGTGCCCCAGACTTCAATGTCCAAAGTGGAGCTTCATTCAACCAAACAAGCTAACATGGTCCCAGATGTATCGCCAGTATCCAAAGAGGTCAGTCCACTGCAGTACATGAAGACAGGAAACAGCAGAGCAAGACAAAGATCTCAAGCCACAAGTGTGATTCGCCACACCGCAGATGCACTACCATGCACGAGTGGCTCCTGCCTAGTTAACATGAGTACTACATCCACTGAGCAGGAAATGATGTACAGGACCAATCCAGGGAGTAGGAATGAACAGAAAAGCAGAGAAACTGTGAGCACCAAAATGAACTCTCTATCAAGTGATGCGTTTTTTCCAGTCAAATTGGCTGAAAATAAAATATCAAAAGCAGACAAACCCAATCAGTGCCCAGTAACGACTATTCATTCCCTGTCATTCTTCAAACAATCTGCTTTACCAAATTCCCAGCTTCCTGCAGCTGCTCCGAGCCAGTTGGCTTCAGTGTTGGTGCCGTCTCAGAAAGTCTCATCTCTTGCTGTTCCACCAGCATCTATCATCTGCCAAATGGTACCCTTTGCCACAAATGGCTCTATTACGACTGCTGTAATTCCTCACACTGCACCCAGGAAGCAGTCAGCTCTGAAACCGCCTGTCGTGTTCATGGGGACCCCACTTTCAAAGACTGCGGTGATGTTTGTTGTGCCTCAGCCCACTCCCCAGAACATCAAACCACGGCTCACCAGCCTGGGTGGTACCCGTCTCTCTCTTATTGCTCCTGCCCCTGGCTTCATGCCAGCAGTCCAGCTCATTCCCCAAGCTGATGCATCTCGAGATCGAAGCCATATATGTGCTCACCCAGGTTGTGGGAAGACGTACTTCAAAAGCTCTCACCTGAAGGCCCACATGAGGACTCACACAGGTAAAGCACTTTTCTTTTCTCCCCTTCTCTAACCAGACTGAAGCTTCATTGTAGCACCTCACTGCTGTGTTTACTGAGATCAGCTAACAGGACAGATGATAATTTGAACCTGTGAAAATTCAGGCTCAGTGGGGGAACTTGGGATTACCTTATTTTTAAAATGTCCCTTCAAAGCTTAGTGATGGAGGTTTGATGAATGTTATGATGGGATTGTGGTGTATTGATGAATGTTATGTTGGTTTTGCAGGTGAGAAGCCCTTCAGGTGTAGTTGGGCAAGCTGTGATCGAAGGTTTGCACGTTCTGACGAATTATCCCGACACCGCAGGACCCACACTGGAGAAAAGAAATTTGCGTGTCCAATGTGTGAGCGGCGGTTTATGAGGAGCGACCATCTCACTAAGCATGCACGGCGCCACCTGTCCTCCAAGAGGTTCCCAAACTGGCAGCTGGAAGTGAGGAAGCTCAATAATGCCATCATTTCCCCAGCGCCTGCTCCATAAACCATGCAATCTCTGACTCTTCAAGCACTTCTGTCTGTATAAAAGGGCTGTTAGATTTTGAACCACTGAACTGCATAGGGAGTGCAGAAACAAGATGTTTTTATATGTCGTGTGAAAATTTTTGAAAGCACAACGTGAGGTGAACATGGAATACTGGAGCAACAGTGATTTTTGCACTTCGGACAATGCTGATGGCCTTACCCAATGACTTATACAGAAATATTAGGATGTAAATAATGCTACATTTTTTAAGTTTATAAATGTTACCAGTGTATATGTGGAAAGAGTTTGTAATTATTTGTGGGCTATTTATTGGTTTCATACAATCACTGCAAATTGTTTAAAATATACTTTTTGTTATTGAATTTATTGCTTTTCTTCTGGGCCCTGTAGCTGTTTGCTCTATCTTTTAGCAATATTGTTTTTTTGTTTGTTTTCTTGGTGTCCCAACCATTTTGCAGGTTTTCACGGAAATCTGCACAGTTGTAGCATTTATCCCCTATATTACATACTATTGAGTTTAGTCCTGGCTTCATTGTGCATTATTATCTTAGTTCACCATAGCAGTATTTGGAATAGAAAGTAATTTAACCCTTAAATTACAGTTTAATCCATTTGCTGCATTACCAACCAAACATTTCCTTTCAGCAAGCAGGGTGGGTGTGAAAGAATTAATACCCGCTGCTTTCACAAGTCTTACAATAATGGAGCATCATTAGGTGAATCAACAACTTACTTGGATTTTGCACAATGTTTTGTTTCATTGATAAACTTTGTTTACATGTTCAATAAATTGAGACAATAAATTGTCTATTGCACAAAGAATACAATTCTGTTTTTATTATAAAATGATGCATGTCGAGAGGGCCAGTGTTATGCGTGGTAAATTGCTCTTTATTATCTGCTAATGTTGTGCCCACCAGAAAATATTTCCATAGTTATAATTGTGTGATCCTTTTTCTGGTAGCAATACATTACCAACTACAGATTTTTAGTTGCTGGAAATAATATAAAATCCTATAATTTAAATAAAGAGATTTTATTAATGGTTAACCTTAAAACCTTAATGATCAGTTTTATTCTCACTTGGCAATTGTTGGGTCGACTGATTGCAATCTCTGGTAATATTATGGTACCAGTTTTCTTAAGTAATTTGGGTATTAAATTTAGTACTTGTAGCTAGTTTGCCCTATTGTGAGATGTGATTCAACTGTTGAAGCTAGGTGCCCTTTCAGATCTTCAATCTCCTGGGGGGAAGAGGGGAAGTAGAGCCTTGCTGGTGATGTACTTAGCAATGGAATGTTAGAATTGAGTTAGCCCTCTGTGGTGGTCTCGGTAGTCCGGTTCCTGAGCCAGACAGGTCTGCGTTACTCCAGGGCATTGCTGATGACAGCCCAGCTAATCCGAGTGGGATCCCATTTGCTCCTGTTAAGCGTTATGAAACCCTACCTGCGTGAAGGGCTCTGTATAAATGCAAGATGTTTTTTTAATTCTGAAAGCTATAAACAATGGAGCAGAGGGCATACGTTTGCTTGATCTGACTTTTTGTGAGAATACAACCCATAAAATCAGGGTTTCACAATCTCTCTGGCTTTTGGAAGTGTCAGAAAAGTTACCGCAGAGATAACCAACTTGTGGTGGCCAAGCCATAAATAGAAGTGTCGTAACGAGTGACAATGAAACTAATGCCACTGAGGGTTTAAGTTAAGATCAACATATTAAAAAGTGCTTTTTATTTCAATTATAGGATTATATATTATTCCAGCAACTAATACTGTAGCCAGTAATAGAACTCCCAGAACTACAGTCACAGCAATTATAGTTACATGAGATACTTTCTGCTGGGTATAGATGTGGGAGAAGGTCACTCGTAGCAGACAATAAATGGTAACTTACCATCCGGTCTTAGCAATGTTGCTTTTTCCTCCTGACGTGAAAGACACTATATAAATGCAATTTATAATTTGACCCTTTAATTTCGGCCCTTTCTACCATTATGAAGAAGAATTCACTAAGCGTTAGGTTGTTGACCCACTAATTGAAAGGGAGCTTCTCCCGGTTTACTGGTCAACAATTCCCAAATAAAATTTATCATTCACTTCATGGCTGTTTGTGTGACATTACTGTGTACAAAAATTGGCTGCCGTATTTGCCCCCAAATATCCACACAGTCCCTGCACTCTAGTATATTCTGTGAAGCCATTGGGATGTCCTCCTGCTGTAAATTGTCTCTGTACCAAATATTATTGTTAATGGGGAACATGAGCTGGGGTTAAACTGTCTTGAGGTGAGTTAGTTTATCCTACTGATGACGTGTTGTTGCAAACCTAATCCAAATGGGTAAAGCGGTCCTGCATGGACAAGCAGAAGGATGTTTGCCACATCCTGCCAAGCTATATATTTTTAGCTGGTTGAACTCCAGCAATGTCCCCAACACATGCTCTCAGGTTGCCAGACCTTGGCACTTGCCAACCCGTGGCTTATTCACTCTGGTAACAAGGTGTGTTCCTCATCTGCAAATTTCGCTGTGGATTCTAATTTACTTATGTCCAACCAAGTCTAAAATGTTTACTGTATTTGTTTGTATGCAGTAGAGCTGAATGTTGAACTGTTACCCTTGATTTAGATGTGAAGCAGGGTTCAAGCCTTAAATAAGTTGTTATTTATAAGCAGCGGCATGGTTAGAACGATCCTGGAGTAATATTGAGTTTGCTTTTCAACAAATCACCATTTGGAAATATCTTTTTATTTATTTCAGTTAAAAGGAAAGAAAACAAGTATGGTGGGTGGTGGTGAGTGAGTGAGAGATTGCAAAATCTTAGTGCGGACTTTTCAGCAATTAAATTAAGCACTTGATAAACTATGAGTTTGCTATCTGAAGTTCTATACATTTTTCATTCTGAGTGAGAATAACATTGAAATCTAAAGTGAGCTGGAAAAGCCATGACAAGAGGTAAGTCTGCAGCAGAAAATCCAGCTCTTAGTGAATGTCTTATTTTGGAAGCATTGCCAATAAGTGTAGAATGGTGATGGTTAATGATGTGATACTGCGTAGGCAGTGTTTCAGATAGCTAGCGCCACAGCATTGCTTCCAAATGTAGCATAGAGAAAATTAGTCTTCTAATTAGGTGACTATTTCATGAATGCAACAACCCTTGAACACCTCTCCCAAGTGGACATTCTTCATGTGTGAATCTACACAATGAGTATTTATGAACTTTTAAACCGTGGGAGCCATCTCAGCCAAGCCTAATGCTATATCTGCTATTTGAAGAGGGATCAGTGGATAGAGATTAGTAGCTGGAATGCCTGGCATGTTAAAGTCAATTGCCTCAGCTCCACTTTTGCAAATGTGAGGACCAGCAAACTCGGGAGAGATAAGATCCAGTATTATTTATGTCCTGATTTATGGAGCTTGAAGTATTGTCTGTGTCTTTGTGCCATAGCAAGATGTGCAAAGTGAAGCAAACCCCTGCACTGTCACATCTGGCATGCCCCAGGGCTCTGTCCTTGGCCCTCTCCCATTTAATATCTATATGCTCCCCCTTGGTGACATCATCCGCAGACATGGGGTCAACTTCCACATGTATGGGGATGACAACCAACTCTATCTTTCTGCCTCAACCCTCAACTCCAGGACTACTGCTGTCCTGACAGACTGCCTGTCGGATATCAAGTCCTGGATGAGGGTAAATTTCCTACAGTTGAATGTGAACAAGATTGAGGCCCTCCTGATTGACTCGCACCAGCGCCTCAGCACCTTAGGCTCTGGTAACATCAACCTCCATGGTTGCACACTACAACTCACCAGCCAGTCAGGAACCTAGGTGTCTTGTTCGACCCTCAACTATCTTTTCTCTCCCACATTCAAGCCATGACCCGCTCTGCCTTCCCTCACCTCCGTAACATCGACCGACTCCGCCACTACCTCACCCCTCAGGCCGCTGAAACTCTTGTTCATGCCTTCATCACTTCCAGGCTCGACTATGCAAACGCCCTGCTTGTCGGCCTTCCCAACTCCTCCCTCCACAGGCTGCAGATAATCCAGAACTCTGCAGCCTGTGTCCTCTCCCACACCAAACTCCGTGATCCCCATCTCCCCCACTCTCGCCTGACTCCACTGGCTCCCTATCCTTCAGAGGATCCAGTTCAAGATCCTGATCCTCACATACAAAGCCCTCCATGGCCTCACCCCACCTCTGCGACCTCCTACCAACCCGTCCGTTACCTCCGCTCAGCCGGCTCTGGCCTGCTCCACGTCCCCCAACCCACCCACCCCACCATTGGCGGGAGAGCCTTCAGCCATTCTGCCCCCAACCTCTAGAATTCCATCCCCCAGTCACTCCACCTCGCCCTCTCCTTAGCCTTCTTCAAGTGCAGCTTCAAGACCCTCCTCTTCAACCATGCCATCGGCCACCCCCCTTCCCCTCCCCTCCCTTAACCCCCAACCCCGGCTCGGGTCTGAAATGCTGTACTCTGTCCAGCGCCTTGGGATATCCTCCCGACGTGAAAGGGGCTATACAATTGTAATCTTGTTGTTGTAACTACTATATTCCGCTCATTATTTTGATCCCATATTTATTCAGAGCTTTGAGCTTTAATTCACCTTAGAGCAGTGATCTCTGCTAGTGATTCAACACCTGAATTCCTGCTTTTATCAATTGTACTTGATTGACTAAATCTTGAAAATAATGTGCTTAACCGATTCATTTGATTCTTTGTGGACTTTGTACAAGAACGCAATTAACATTGTGATTTAGTTCAGTAGTTTCTTACAATGGCTTTCAATTATCTTAATCTTTGGATAAAAAATTGCAATCTAACAAGACTTAAATTGATATAATTGAGCAACTGAGTGTATGACCAGGAATGAGAAAGTAGGAATCCAAGCTTTCAGAATGTGAAATTATATCTTATTGTCTTACTCAATAAACCAGCTTTGCTGTTGTATGTGGTGTAGTGGAATTGCATATCTAATACAATACAAAATTACATTGTAGAGTGTCTTTCACGTCAGCAGGACATCCCAAGGCACTGGACAGTCAGGGATTTGGACCTGAGCTGGGGGTCGGGATCAGGGAGGGTTGAGGGTAGGAGGGCGGCTGAAGGCTCGGACGAAGAGAAGGGTTTTGAGATGCACCTTGAGGGAGGGAGCGAGGCGAAGAGAATGTGGGATGGAGTTCCATAGGGTGGGGGCAGAAAGGCTGAAGGCCCGACCGCCGATGGTAGTGTCGGCTGGGTGGGGGACATGGAGCAGACCAGAGCCTGCTGAGTGGATAGAAATGAATCACGATCCAAACCTTACCACTTGAAAACAATGCCCTTACTGCAAGTTTGAAATGAGTCATTCCAATGTAATTGCATCATAGTAGAGGGTTACTGTTAGAAAGTAGCAGGGAAAATGGTTCAGTGCTGGTTTTATAGAAATTGTACATTGAAAAGAAAAATGATTCCAGAAACCCAAGTTCAATTTCCTCCAAGTTGGCCGCTGGAATCCCCGGCAGAACAACTTTTGTACACAACTGAACTGTTTTACGTTAAACACTAATAATATCAGTTTGCTTCAACTTACAACAATTTGCATTTATATAGTGCCCTTCACTCAGGGTAGCATCCTGGAGCGCCTCACAGTGGCGGAATCTGTCAACGAACCAGGGGGAGAGGAAGGTGGGAGGTGACTGTAAGCACAATCAAAAAGCGAGGTCTTTAGGTAGGATTTGAAGGTGGGGAGGGAGTGGGCAAGGTGAAGGGATTGAGGGAGAGAGTTCCAAAGTTTCAGCACATAGTGGCTGAAGGCACGGCTACCGATGGTAGAAC